TAAAGCAAATGACACATAAATGAGAAAAAAAAATTATTTAAAAAAAATTTCTTAACTTTTCTTTCCACAGTTTTGTTTTTGCCAAATATAAATGTGTACTATTTACAAATTGCAACTTCAGTTACAGTAAAAAGATAGCCCCTTTTTTTAATCATTTAATTTTAGTTATTAAACTTATTTATGTAAAACTTTAGCAAAAACTTGAAAAATAAATATCTATTATTTAATTAATCGAATAACTCAACTTATTTTAACTCTTTTAATCTATAAACAGAAAAATCATTTTTAGACATAAAAATAATCAAGACAAAATTACAAAAAAATAAAGAACGATACTTTAAATACACTTAATCTTTTATATATTTATTGTTATTTTACATTAATATATTATTTTAAAATTTTATATTTAAATTTTAATAAAATCACTTAATTAATATTTAGTGCTCTCCTTAAATTTTTAGTCAAATTTATATATTTTTTGAAACAATCACTTGACAGAGCAAAACAAGCTAATATAATTAGCTTGTGAAATGATGACTCTCGTTGGGGATATCAACGAGTAATTCACTATACTTTGGCATGATATTGTAATATTTATATTTTAATAAATGATGTATAGTTGTTTTTGTATTTTAATGAATAACAATTTTACATGTATTTTCAATATTCGTAACTAGTTAATTAAAATGTATTTTTTTATTTTTTACTTTTGCAAATTAGTAACATATAAATATCATTATAAATGAAAAATTGTGTAGAGATGTGGTCAACACGAACTTCCATCAATATTACTACCATTAAAAAAAGTACGGTTAAAATTTGTTTCTTGTAATTACCCGTTGTAGCATTGATAGATAGTCATTCAAGTAATTATACTTCAAACAATTAAAAAAATAAGAGAGAAATATATTGATATTAAAAAATAAAATTTATATTGATATCATAATAAATATAATAATATAAAAATTATCGGCAATTAAAAAAAGTAGAAAGAGCAATGACCGGAACCGTAACGTGCAGATTATGACAATATTTGACTCAGACTGTGATTGTGTGGTCGTGTTAGTGTTAGTGTCAGTGCTACAACTTTTTCTCTTTTTTGGCGGTCAATGCTAGTGGAGCTGCTTTATCCCACAAATTGAGTTTCCAGATGCATCATTTTTTTTTATTTGTAATGTTTATACTTTATAATTCTTCAATAAAAATTATTAAATTTTTAAAAATAATATATACGTGTCCTTTGTTTAATATTTATTTTATAAAATAAAAACATATGAAAAATATTTTAATAATTTAATACATTTACTTCAACATAAATATGGAATTCCCAAATATGGCGACGATTAAGGGAAATGATACAAAAACATATAAGAAAATATCGGGTGATATAAAATTTTTTTTTTTTTTCTAGACTTCTTTTAAGACATTATTAATTCAGTTTAATCACATTTTAATGACCGACTTAATTGGTTAAAATAAATAAAGTATGGCTCGAATATTTTTTTATTTTTAAAAATTTTAAATATATATATATATATATATATATATAATATTTGACATTACTAATTATGTACTTTATTCATCACCACTAACCTTTTGGCTTCTTATGCGAAAGCTTTGTCTTAATCCCATTAAACACGTCAGACTACCATAACAAGAACTTTAAAATCTTAACAAAGAAACGACTCATCCATCTATAATTAATATTAAATTTCTTTCATTATATACTATTTTAATTTTTTTATGAAGTATATTAATTTTATAAATTTTTATATAAAATAAAATTAACAAATAGTCTATTATATTATATTATTTTAATATATATTTCTAAAATATAATAAATATTAAATTTTAGATAACATATTTATAAATATTTAAACTATATAAAATGATTATAATATATATATATATACTATATATTTATTCTTGTAATTGTTAGATTATTTTTACTTTAGTCTTTTAACTTTTATAAGTATTTTTTAAATGATTTTTTATGATATTAATTAAAAATTTTATTTTTTTATCATATGTATTAATTTATATTTTTTTAATATGTAATTTTTTTCCACCTTTCCATATTTCTTTTCTTATTCTTTTTGTCTTTTTCTTCTTATTTCCAACGATATTGTCACTACTCTCTTCTTTTAACAATAATACCACCATCTCTAAAATCACATTTAAATATAGATGCACCTTCACTCTTAATATAATATCCTTTTTTTTTTGTTATATAGAAAACACTTAAAGTATGTTTGATTTCTGTTTTAGAATTTTTTATTTTTTAAAATATATAATATAAATTTGTATTAAATTTTATTTTTAAAATAAAAAAAATTATCTTTAAAACATAAATTAAATATGCTCTGAGATCTTTAAATCTTCTCCTCTTTTGAACTAGATCTTTAATTCATTCCATTCACATGTGTGAGTGCGTGTCAAGATGGTAGAATCTAAAATGAGGGCTTGAAGGAAGAATGTAGAGAAAGGAAGGTAAAAAAATAGTGTGGATTTGAATGAAAAAAGAAGGATAAAGAGAGAGAAAGAAGAATAAGTTATTTATCTTCTCATTAAATTTGATTTTTACTTATTTAAAAAGTTTTTAAAATTTAAGTGATCAAATTAAAATTTTTTAAAGTTAAAAAAATAAAATTGTTGAAGTTAAATATTAAAGATTTAATTTTATAAAATTATAATATGCATAACTAAGTTTGGAAATTAAATGCTTTAATTTTTTTAATCATTCAAAGAATTAAGTACCAATGATTTTAGTTATCAAAATATTTATGATATTGAGTCTTTTAAATGTTAAAATATAAAAATCAATTTTATTTTATACTTTAATAAAATAAGTTATTTAATATTGTATGAAGAACTTGTATGATATCATTTTTTAAATACTCAATTTAATATAAAATGAACGTTTTAAATACTAAATTAATATTGAAATTTTTTAAAAATAATTCATTTATAAAACATAGGCTAAAATAAATAAATAATTATTTAATTATATTATTAATATATTCTAAATAGTTAATTATATAAGAATAAAATATATAACACTGGTACATTTGCTGAGAAGAAAATTTCACTGTCTTATTACTTTGACAACATGAAAGGATATAAATGAGCATTGGTCAATTATGGACGTAAATGCCTCGAATCCTCCGCTCATTTATCGTAACCTAAAATTATTTTTGACATGTTTAACATTTTTAAATCAGGCTCATTGTGTTTTAGAGATGAATTCAAGTTATGTTTTGAGTAATTCCACTTCAATTTGATGTCTTGTAGTAATATATATATATATATATATATATAATTCCCATTCTTTTATATATATTCTTATTTAAATGTTTTAGAAGATTCATTTTTTTATTTAAAAAAACTCTAATAATATAAACAGTTCCTTTTTTTTTTACTAAATTATAAGTATCCTCTGTTAAAAACAATTTTATTTAAATATTAGCAGGAAAACTATATAAGTTAAGTAAAAAAAGTCATTGTTAGTTGATTTATTTGTTCAATAATAAAAATGTTTTTTTCTTTTAAAAGCCTTTGTTCTTTTTTTTTTAATTTTAATTTGCAAACAAAATCTTTTAAAAAAAATGTAAATACTTCTTGTAATAAAAAAAATTAAAATATGTAAACATCGCAATTTTCAAATCGATTAACAAGTTTAAATAAATAAAAAATAATATGATAATATTGTATATATGTACGCTTAAAAGAACCAATTATTAAATTGAAAATAAAATTTTTATTCATGCATAAATAGAAGTTGACTTATGAAGAAAAAAAGTAAAATTTTATTTATCATTAATTTAAACATACTTATTTTTATGAAATATTTTAATTCAAACTAATGATAGATAAAATTTTACTTTTAAAAATATTCTCTTATTTTAGAAGAATTAAATCTGATTAAAAAAATTGACTACTTCAAGCTAACTTTTTTAATTATGCAATTTTTTAAAAACATATTACATAACGTGTTTGCAAAACCTTATTTTTAAGAAACAATTATATTTTGAATTTTTTAATATTAATAGAGCTCATTTGACAAATAAAAAAAATAAGGCATAAAATTTTTTCGTCTTATTCTATTTTTGACTTGTATTAATTAATACAATAACTCATTAAATTTATAATATTATTCTATTCAGGATAAAATGTGTCTAATAAAGAAGTTTAAGTGAGAAAAAAAGAATACAATCTTTCTGTTTAATTATATGAATACACATTATTACATAAAAATAAAATAAAATAAATATTCTATTTTATTTTTATTGGAATCTTATATTTTATCTTATTATATTAGATCCACCAAATTCAATGCTTAAAAAAATAATAAAAAGACAAATGAGAGTAAGCATGATCCATATGAGACCGGTAGCCCTGCTCCACGCCTGCCAAAAGGAAGGCGTGTCCATGCACACGGGACATGCCGTCATCCCTCCTCTGCTTCCTCTCAGTACCTTATCATTTGTTTGCACCATTTTTATATAATTGGAAAAGATTAAAAGGAATTAACTTTTCCCCCTCTTTTATTCTTTTTAATTTCAATTTTATCTCTCCTCTTAATTTCTTTGCTTAGAATGAAAAAGCAAAGCAACGAGACTCGCACCATTCCCATTTCTTTCACTCCACACTGATTCAACTGTGTCCCCATCTCACTCCAAGAGGTGTTTATTTGGTTACTTCTCTCAATTCTCATTGACCTTACTATTACCCTCCCACTCTCAAAAGGCCACACGTAAGTGTCCACTCCCAACTTGCCCACCCACCACCTCTCTTTGATTCCGTATACTCGTACACACTACATACCCCTCCACACACAAATTAGTATTATTATTTATATAATTTTTATACCCCTTTCGAAAAGAAAAAAGTAATATCCATGGCACTTAATAATTGCTAGCTATATATATTAAGGGTCATTCCTTCTTCTTGGGCACTTGGAATCATTAGTCATAAGAATTGAGCAATTTAATAAAGGTAGCATGCAGGAGGAGAAGAAGATGAAGGTGAAGAAAGGGTGGCTTGCTGTTCAAGTGGGTTTAGAAGAGGAAGAAGGGTCAGAGAGATTTGTTATACCAATTTCATACCTTTACCATCCTCTCTTCAAGGGTCTTCTAGACAAAGCTCGTGAGGTTTATGGGTACCACACCGATGGGCCTCTCAAGCTTCCATGTTCAGTGGATGATTTTGTTCATCTTCGTTGGCGAATTGAGAAAGAGTCCACTCATCACCATCACCATCATAACCACAACCATCATCGCCTTCCTCATGCTTTCTACTTCCACTCTTGTTAATCTTGTTTAAGGGATGTGTATGGAACGGATATTGCATAGTGCTAATTAGTAATTAGGGAATTGACGCCACTCTCTGTTTTTTAATGTCCAGAGGGAATCAAATACTCTGCTTTCAAGCGTAAATCTTCTTATAAGCCAAAAGCTTAACTTGTTATGTGTTTTCTGCTTCTAGTGCTTTCACCGATGAGGAGAATATGGATTCAAATCTATAGATTTTCTCCTTTAACTTTCTTTTCTTTTTCTTTTTCTTTTTTCCCACTATATTATGCACAAAATTTGCGACCCCTTCCTTCAGTATTTTCTGCTATTATTCTTTTAAAAACAGTATTTTATAAATATTTCCTTGATGGGTACACTTAAAGTGAAATAAAAAGAAAAACAAAATAGTTAACTTAACAAAATGAGTTATCTTGCTCGTTTGGACTGGTTCATTAAAAATTTTGGATTTACAAAAATAATATCCAAGTCTAAATTTTCCTTTTTAATTTTGTTCTTCTGCAACATTAGACTAGAAAAATTAAATTTAATTCAAACTTAAAATTTGAAATTCACGCTTTACATTTTTATAGATGAGTTCAGGTCAATCCAATTAAATTAGTCTACTTTACCGACTCTAAAAAAAATAAAAATAAAACATTTAATAAAAATAATAATATTTTAATATTTATATATCATAATTATATTTTTTATCAAAATTAAAAGGTTTATATTGAATTACAGTTTAAAATTAGTATATTTTATTAGAAGAGTTTGAATTTATTTAATTGAATAAGTTTATTTTTTTCAGCTATAGACATAATAGAAAGAGATAAATAAAAAAAATAAAAGGCATTAAATGAGAATTAATATTGTTTTATTTATAAAAATCATTATCATATTTTTGAATAAAAAAATGCTTTATTACAGTGAAATGTAAATTTTTACCTACTCTTAAAACTAGATTTTAATTAAAAATTGAAAAAATACTTTAAAAAAAAGTGTAACCAAGATTTGATGAATGATTATTGGGTGTGAAAAATGAAGAGTGTATAATGGGAATTGATGTATATTACCTGGCGAGCAACGAGAAGCAGGAGAATAGGAGTAGTGAAAGCCAGCGAATGTGCAGAAAAAGGGTAATGGAACCTGCAAGTCTGCAACTGGCTTTGCTTTTTGGAACATTCACAACTCCTAACCGCTGCAACGGATCTCTTTGCTATTTGCCTCATCTTTCTCTGCCTAGCTGTGCAGCACTACCCCCTCCCTCTTACTATCATTTCCTCACTTTACTGCACCTCTTTCTCAATATAAATCAATTTTTTTTTAATTTGTTAGATATTAAATTATAATATTTTAATAATTAATTCTAAATATTATAAATTTTATATAGACTAAATTTTTTTAAACATCTTTAGTATTAGTCTTTAATTTTACTATATTCATTTTTTTATTTTTAAAAAGATTGACGTATAAAGATAAAGCATAAAACAAACTCTTAAAGGTTATCGTCAGTAACTTAAAAATGATAAAGTTAATTATAAAAAAAGATAAATTTAAAATAATTAAAAACTAAAAACTAAAATCAAAATTCCCAACAAAATTAAAAATATATTCCAGCCATGATTTTTTCACTACATTACCGCGTTATTCTGCCCAACAAACTTCTTTGGACCGTGTAATTTAGTTATAACATTTTTTTTCTCTGCAATTTATTTATTTATTTGACTTATTTTATAATCCACAATTTATTGTTAGCATCTTCTTTTCATGTGTCAGATGGTCTGAGTCTATTTGGCCTATGATTGTTGTCGATTAGAAAAAATAAATATGATTATTATTAAGAATTTAAATTATTTTGCATGTTTTTATTTATATTTTAGTTCTTTTTTATTTATTTTTCTCTTATTCTCTTTCCTTCATTTCTTTAATTTTTTTTATTGGTAAACCACATTTTTTTACCTCACCACCAACACTTTTACGTGATCTTTCAGCGCATTTTAAATAATTTTTTATTATCTCACATGAAAAAGTTTTGAATAGATAAAGAATATTATTGTCAAACTTTTAAAATTAATTTTTAAAGTTATACAAAAATATTTTAAAATTTAATTTTCATAAATAAAATAAAAAAACTTTCAAAAATTAAATTCTAGAAGCATGTTTAATAAATTTTCAAAATTTAACTTCTGACATTAGAAACCGAGGTTAGTTTCGAAAGTTAAATTCTAGAAGCTTGTAAACTAAACTTTCAAAATTAAATTCAAGAAGCTTCCTTAATGATTGAAATTAAATTTTAAAAACTTATTAAACTTGTTTATGTAGTTTAATTTTCAAAAAATTCTTTTAGTTTGAATTCTAAAATTTTATTTCTAAAATTTGCTTTTAATTTGAATTCCAAAAGTTAATTTTCGAGACCTTGTAAAACATGATTTTGGAATTTAATTTTTGAAAGGTTAGCAAGCTTTTGAAAATTAATTTTCAGAATTTAGCATTTTGTATTTTTATGTTTTTATGTTTAGATTAAAATAATATAATATAATTATTAAATTTTTTACAAAATTGGTATTTTCTTCTTCTTACTCCTTTCTTCTTTATTTCAATTACCTTTTCTTGATTCAACATCACCTTTTGATTGCAAGAATGACAAGATATGATATTCCTTTAGTAGCACTTGAAGTTATCCTATATCAGGTTGGCTAATTCAAATTCTTCTTGTTCCTTGATTTTCCTACATCACTTTCAACATTTCAATTAAAAAGCGGAAATTAATTATCATTTGAAGAAATCAAAAAATATAATGCAAGAGATGAAAGATGCATTTTCATCAATGTATTAGATGTTGTAAAAATGATGATGCGTTGAATAACAAACGTAGTTTAATATTTCATTCCAATCTTAAATATTTTACTAGTTATATTTGATTAGAGAAAAGACCATGTTGACTTTAGGCAAGATGTTGGATGAATATAATTGTTTGAAAAATCAGAAGGTGATGTTGGATCAAGAAAGTATTACAAAGATGAAGAAGAAAAAGGAAAAGAGCAGCTAAGAATATGAAAATGGAAGGCATAAGAGGAAAAGGTGAAGGAGTTACAGTTTGAGATCTAAAGAAGACAATGAATAATATCCACACAGTACATGTCGTAGAAAATAACAAAAACTTTTAATATAATTAACACTTTTAGTATAAAAAAGACCTATTTGAAATATTTTTAAAAGTTAGAGGACTACAATAGACTAAAAAATATAGAATAAAATTGAAACTCACCTAAAAGTTGGAAGACAAAATCACTAAATTTGCTTAATTTTTTAAAAAATTTTATTTACATTGCAATTATAGCAACAAGAGAAAGACATATATGCCCTACAACTTTTATACATAAAGAATGTGCACATGTAGCTATAGAATAGGAAGATCATGATGAACCAAAAGGACTATGATGGACAATAGGAAGGTGTTCTTACAAGCCCTCTAAACCAACAGTAGAACAATTTTTAGGAGGATTTGATGATGCATTTGTGCTTAGGTTTTATAAAGGTCATGTTGCTCATTATTTATGTGATTAAGAGATAATAATGATATTATTTAAATGATTATTATATTTACCTAAACATAATCACTCATGGTGAAAGAGTGGACGAGTTAAAAATAACTCATGAGTGCAAATAAAATATTGCCAAAATTTATAGGTTAGCACCATTAATAGATTATATATATCAAATAATTGACAATGGACTTTTGTCTTCCTTTGTTGAGAGATGACACATTGACGCAAGTAGCTTTCACTTACTAAGTGAGTGAGTTGGTGATTACGTTAGATGATGTGTCATTTGTAACGCTCCAAATTTTTTGTAATATAGTTTGATTATTAATATAAGTAGTTGCGTTGACTTTTTCGTGTTTTGTGTGTCTGTATATATATATATATATATATATATATATATATATATATATATATATAAACATATATATGTATGATGTGAATATATATTAGAGTTGCACTTGAGCGTGTGATGAACTTTGAATGTTGGTGTGTATAAATGCTTATGGACGTGTATAACTATATTTGTATATGATTGAATTGGATTGATTGGACCAAAAATCAGGTTAAAGGTGTATTACTGGGGCATTCTCGCTGTAGCGAGAGGACCCTGAGAGGAAGGCGTGAAACTGTCGCCTTGTCACTATAGTGACAAAGCAACAATTTTGGGTAAATTTCTAGGTGCAGTCTCGCTGTAGCGAGAATCTGCAGAAATCAAGATGCAATTTTCTCTGATATTTTAGTTGTAGCGACAGGGGGCATCGCTGCAGCGAGAGTGTCATGACCAGAGAAGATTTAAAGGGGCTAGGGCTTGAGAAACTCATTTTTTCCCTTTTCTCTCTTCAAGGTCCCTTCGATTCTCTCACCTCCAAACCATTTTCCACCGATTAAATTGTCTCAAAAGCCGTTCGTGAGCTAGATTGAAGGTTGGATTCATGTGGGAAACGCTTGAAGGTGAGTTTTAATTGTTAGGGTTTCGGTCTCTCTCTCCCATTCTCTGTTCTCTTGGTTTTCCTTGATCCTTATGAGATTCCTCCATGTATTTAGGACTAAGTTTGCAAGAGGAACACTTCCTTGAGCTAAATTCGTGTGTGGGTCTTCAATTCGAGGTAAGGGGGATTCTACTCTATCTTGTTGTGTTTAATTTATCAATTATTTCATTGAATGTTATGATATGACTGAAATAGAGAGTAGAAAATGTGTATGAGCATGTTGAGCAATTGATATTGAATGTGATGAGTGAAATGATTGAGCCTAATATGGGTGAATATGTGTGTTTGCGTGTCCTTGAATGATGTAAATGGTTAGAAATTTGTATAGATGGCATGTTGAAATGTTGTATGTATGGAATGGATATGTGTCGTGTGTGGTAGATGAATGTGGGCACTTGTGCCGTGTGTGCAAATGAATGTGGGTCTATGTACCGTGTAATGTTAATGACTATGGATATTGTGTCATGTGCTGTGAATAAGAAACATGTGTGTGAATGAGGCATGTTAAATGCTGTTGTAATGATGCTGTGAATGGTTTATTGATATACTGGAGGTGTGGAAGATGAGGACGGTAGAAATACCTTAGAGAAGCGAGAGTGGTGGTGACACCAACAGTAAGCGTGGGTGCACTACAGGTCACACACTCTCCTCCTGACTAGACTTCTGACCACTACTTTTGCTGAGCAATCCGTGATTGCTCACGTGGTATCTGTGAGGCAGGGGTAACCGACGACCATTCATGGTATGAAACTGTGATCATAATGCCACAGTGAGCGTGGTTAGGTGCAGTAAGCGCACATGTGTGAAATGTTGGTGCAATGTGTGTACCGGTTGTGTTTTAAATTTAAATAGATGATTGTGACTGAGATTGAGATGCTTGTCTTGTGAATGCATGATTCAAATATGTTGGTAAATGTGTAGTATTTGATGTGAGTCTTTATGTTTGTGTGTATTGGATAGTGTAAAATGTTCATCCTTACATTTATTTTTCAGGTGACCAAGACAGTCAATATCGGACTCAGTGAAGGAAGGATGAACTGCTATAGGGCATAGATTGTATTTTGTAATATGATGTAACTGAATTAGTCCGAATTAGTCCTGTAACAGTGTTTGATATAAATTTGTAATCTTTTATTATTTTGAACTGTTTTATGAAACTCTATGATAGGATCTTTTTATTTAAATAAAAATTTTATTACTTCCATTTTGTGAAATTATTACTTGGAAATTAATTTAAGGTGTTACATCATTTTTGTTATATCTACTTGTGGTAGGTGAATTTTTTTCATATCCTCCAATGTCTAAAGACCTTGCTTGCTCAATTTTGGTGAGCCTATCAATTATTACTATAGTCGATATACTAATAGAGATGACTACTATGCATAACACATATGTGAGTTTCAGTTGACTTTGAGATGTTTATCATATGCAACTACATAATGATTATTGGAGTATATAACATGAGCATTTCTACTTCACTTATTGGTTTCACTATATTTACAAATAAAATGGCAACCTATACCTTAGTAATTTACTTGAAAATACTCTATGACTTGATAATAGTTAATAGGTATGCATTGGGGGTTGTTGCACTTGCATTCCTTATGAGCATTTGAGTGATGCTAGTATGCATCACACACTTAGACAAGTGAGAGGTTACATGACATATATATATATATATATATATATATATATTAATCTATTTATTTTAATTAGATTATAAGGCTTATTTTTGTTTGGTAAATTAATTAAGTATTAAAATTTCTTTAATAGTATCTAGTTAATCATGAATTTTTTTAGCACTTTTCAGACTTATGAGAGGTGCAAGTGGAGTGATGCCTTTTTGCATTTTTCTTGATTAGATTATGAATAATGGTATGTTGGATTATATATATTAGTCATAGAGTACATAATGCATTTGAGGAGATGTCTTTTTATTTTGGATATATCATGTGTGAACTTTATGCATGCTCATTTACCAGAGCGAGTATTGTGTCAATTTGGTCGTGTATGACATTCCATGATCACCTTTACTTTTTATGTTCAATGTAGACCATTTAAGTTATTAAGAGGCTTGTGGGCTCAATTCATACACCCAAGACAGTACGTTGAGGGATACATGCATCGGTTCCACAAGATTCTCACCCTTACCTCTTACCATCGCTTGAGGATTAACCTATTAAAGTGATAAACATAGACCCTATAAAGGTGTCAAAAGGTAGCATTAGTGTTATTTATTGTAAGTCCGAAGTTTGAGAGGATTGCTAACATACTACAAAGTATGTTAGATAGAAATATGGTTATTGAAGCTTGGGAGCATACATGTGAAGTAAATAAGTTATTTATATGGATATTCTTTTCATGTTTATTAAGTTCTTCAAATTGTTGTATCCATGTATCTATTTTATGTTTAATTAATATCTCTTTGCATAACTCATTCACATCTAGGTATAGAAATAGGTTATTCTAGGTTAGATTTTGTATAAGTAGACTTAAACCTATTTAATAATTTGAAGCATAAGTTTGATATATTATCTATTATAAACTTTTTATTAAGTTTAGTATGAACTTTCTAACAACTTAATTCAATTTATTAGCTTTTTTTAATGGTCTACTTTGTATTAAGACCTTTAATATGTCATTAAGTTTTTTTATAAATAGGTCATCAAACTATCTAAATAGGCATATCTCATAAAAAAAATAGTTCAACACCTTAAGTATTTATAATAAAATTACATATTTCTATTTATCACTTTCAAGCTACATATTTTATTTAAATAATTAAATAAATAAAATACAACAAATACAATTGAATGAACATCAATCTATAAATCATTAAGCAAATTTAATAGCATAAAGTTTCACACCTTAAATCAATGAATACAATATAACTAAATAAGTTATAGATCTTTAAAATTAGCAAATGAAATGATATCAAAAATCTAAAATATACAAATAACAATATTATTACAAAGCAAAATATAAAGATATTACTGAAAAAGATGCATAAGTAATAGTAAAGTAAAAGATCCCAGCAATCAGTACTCTCTTTCTCAAAAGGTTTGTAGTAAAGAAACTTTTCACCAAATCTAATGAAAAAGATGTCTAATTTAAAATTTAATTTATTTAATATAATTTTTATATAAAATTATTTAATATTTTTATAAATTTTATGAGTCTTAAATAAGTCATTTTTTTTCTTATGTTCGAGTTATTTAATTAATTAAAATTTTTTAATTATCTAAATTAAGTTTATTATTTAAATAGGTAAAGTAAGACTAGGATTTAACTTCTCTCTAATCACTTCACTTTAAAGAAGTATTTGACATTAGACCATGACTATAAAAATAGTGTGATGGTAGAAAGTGCTATACTTTAACTTTGTCTCGGCTTATTTGAATAACTCAACCTAAAAATAGTCAAGAAACAATTGATCTTTATCTATCATAATAGATGAGGGGAATTTGTGTAGCTTAACTATCTCTAAAAAAACATCTTAAATGTTTCAAAAACATGCTTTAAACACTTAACTCCTATGCTACTTTTGCTCTAGCCAATAGTTCATCAAAAGCCTCCAAATACTCTTCTAAAGTGCTTGTTTGATTCAATCTTGTTAATTCTTGTAAAGGATCATTGTAGTTACCCTCATCAAATATATAACCCATATCATAAACAATTTGTCTCCAATTTAATTTATCTTTATCTCTCTGTATCGAGTAATGTTGTAGCCATGCAAAAGCCTTTTCCTCCATAGCTATTATTAGAAGTTTAGATTTCTAGATTTTTGGTACATCTTTTAACCCCAAGTAGTGCTCACATTTAGCTTTCTATTCTCAATATTTAGTCCCATCAAAAGGTGGAAAAAGAATCTTGGGTGCCTTGGCAACTTACTTTTTGTTAAAATTCACATCTTCATCTTTTATGTCTTAGGCTTTCTTAATACTTGAGTCATCTTTAATGTTGCTTTTCATCATCTTTTCCATTATTTCTTAGGGTGTTGTAATGGATTGTCCCATCAAATTCATCTACTTCTTAATTTGTTGTTGTATTTCATCAAATTGTGTCTCTAACTTCTTGTTCAAAATCATATTCTTGCTTCAGCCAATTGCATAGCAAGAATTTTCTTACCAAAAATATGTTTTCTTTTAAGAATCTTATACAACTTAACTATTTAAGCATAAAAAAATATGACAACCTTATTATTTTTAGGTGGCTAACCATTTAATAATTTTCATCATGTAATTGATTTAATAAATATTCAAAAAAATAAATTAAATTAAATTTGTATCTAATAAATCAATCAAGTCAAATTTAGACTTCAAGCATCACTAGAAACATTTAAACAAATATTTATAATACAAATAAAAAAATCTTTATTATATTAATTATATTTATCTTCTATTTTATTGTTAAATATGTCTTCATCTTTATTTATATAAGTAATTTACACAAATTTTAAAAACTTGTTAATAAGTTATAATACTTAGAGCTAAATTATAATTGATTCATAATTATAAAAATTCATATAAAAATAAATAAATATTTAATTAAATTAATTATTTCAAAGTATTTGATGGTAACAAAACCTTAAAAATAAAAAAAATATTATCTATACATTGTATTTATATATATATAATAGTTTTGTAAAATAATTTATTCTAAATTAATTAAAAATATTAGTTTTTAAAATTTTTCTTAAAAATATAATTATTTATATTTAATTTTTTAAATACAAAATTTAATAAAAAAAGTCTAGATAAAATCGTGCAATACATGTTATTTAATAAATTATTTAATATATTTAATTTTTTTAAATCTTATTATAGAAAATCAAATATATTTTTAAATTAACAAATTATATAGTCTTTAATTTAATTTATTTTTAAAATAATAAAAAAGTATATTATATTTTTTCTTAAAATAATTTTTAATAAAAAAATAAACCAATCCGTGCATTAATATATTTAATAATTTGAAAAGTATTTTACATAATAAAATAAATAAATAAATAAAATAACTTTAAAAGTCTATAAAATATATGAATAACATAATTTAAAATTATAACAGCTATTGAAAAAATAACATAATTTATAATTTTTTATCTAGATAAATTTAGATCCAACTTAGATCACACTTAGATATAGTGTATTTATTTTTGATAATTTTTTTTATATATATTTCGAGACTTTAGTTAACTGATACTAAAATGTTTAACATTCAAATTAATTTCTGTTAGTATTTATGATATTTTTTAATTAATAATAAATATTAACAGTATATTAAAATTTAATTTTTAAGAATAAAAAAATAATATAATTTTGTTTAATAGTGGAATATTTGGCTTATAATTTGATCTAATCAAAATTATTGAACCTAGGAAAAAGAAAATTTAAATTTTCTCATTTCGTGGAACTTGGAACCGAATGGTTTTCACTGGAGGCGTGGGAAAGGACACAACAGGCAAACGTAAGCGAATCTATCTGTAAATTTTCCCCTTCTCTGCAACCGCTTCCTCTCGTAAGTATTCTTCTCCCACCACACCCACAATTACGTACCCTATTCACCTCTTTGTCAATCACTTCACGCTTTTCATTCTATCATTTATCTTTATGTATAGTATTATATGTTATTTCGTCATGTTTGAAGCTCAAGCAATTCCTTTGTTGTTCAATGGTCAGGTTTCCAGGCAATAATGGAGTCGGTTGATAAAGGTGAGTAAATACAATTCAATCGAGTTTTTTTGTTTTTGTGTCTTGAATGACTTGTCACCGAGATTATTTGAATTTAAAAAGGAAAAAAAAAAAAAAGAGACTGTTAGATTAGAGTTAGACTTCGTATGTGCGCGGGATTAGGATTGAGGAATGGGAATGGTCGTGACTGATTTATTTTGATGCATTAAACGTAGAATTGAATGGAATTATTGATAATCATCGTGGTTTTAAATTGCGGTGGTTTGCGGTTACTGGAATTGTGAGCAAATTCAATTGCAATTGCAGTATTGACAATTTAAACTCATTGTAATCGTTAGGGAATTGAAACGGCGGTAATAATTATTGTTCGTTTGATTTAAGTAGTTTCATTCAGAGGGAGAAAAGGTGTTCACACCACTAGGTTTGGGAGCATTATACAGTGTGTTATGCTTCCTTCCATCCAAGTGTGTTTTATGTTCTGGGTTCTGGTTTATCCTCTTCTGAAACGAGGAGAAGAGGATGCATTGGAGGATGAGTTGTTGTGGTATGAATCACAGCAATCCATTATAGCCTCTCCATTTGAGATTTAGAAAGTAAAAAAAACAAAACCTAGGGCAATTTTTTTAAATTGATAAGGTTATAAATTGTTCGTAAAAATAAACAAAACATTATGACATGGAGGTCATGCCATTCTACCATTTTATTGATTTATGTTATTTTAAGAAATTATCAAGTAGAGAGAGATTTTTTTTTTTCTGTAAACTTGCCAAAAGTAGAAAAAAAAAATCAAAGATTTGGACAAAGTTAGGTATATCAAAGATGAAGAAGTAAAATTTTTTATTACTAATTAAGACATTATGCAAAAAACTTTCTATAAAATTACAAAATTATTGTAAAATGTGATTAAACATTGATAGAAAAATACTAGTACTAGTACAAAGAAAATGATTTACCTATGATTTTTATTAACTCAGAAAAAACAGGAAAAAACATGCAACTGTGTCAAGAGAGTGTCGAGAAAAGCTCTAAAAAGAAACTTAGTCCGTGCAATATATATTTAGGCTATACAAGATGCATATGAGATAATAATTATATGTGTAAGAACTCTTAAATGCGTATTTAAGGACTTCTTTATAGGGTAGGGATAGGTTTATATTAGGATTTTATGATGAGTCTTAACTTGTTTAACTTAGCCTTAAATGTGTTTATAAGTGACGTAAATAAAATTATTCCTAAATCCTAAGTACATACTTTTTGTTGATGACATAGACCTACTTGAGAAATCAAAAGATGTTAACTCTAAACTAGAGTTATGAAGGGATACTTTAGAATTTAAATGTTTTTGTTTTGAGCAAACGCCAAACGTAAAACATGCTACGTGTGTATTACACATTTATAAAACAAAACAAGATGAGAATCATGTGTTGAAAGTTAAAATTAGATATGATATTATATTACAACTCTTCAAATTTAGGTACTTTGGATTGATTTTACAAAGTGATTAATATATTATAGAAGATATCATAGAATACAAGTTGAATGGTGGTTAAAGTAGACAAAAATATTAAAAATTATGTGATCACTAGCTATCTATAAAGTTGAAAGGACAGTTTTATTGTCTTGCTAAATGACTAATTATCTTATATGGAAGTGAATGTTAAACATGAAAAAAAAAAAGATGAGTGACATAAATAAAAATGTTATGATGAATAAGTTGTCATATAAAAAAAGACAAGATAAGAAATTATTGTATACGCAAAATATTGGAGTAACACCATCTATATTGGAAAAGACAACAAAAAATTGTTTAAGGTGGTTTGGTTACATGCAAAGAAAGTTTACAGGTGGCACTAGTAAGAAAAGTAAATGACATGAATTTTAATCTAATAAAAAAGAATAGGGGGAGATTTAGAAGAACTTTAGAAAAAATTATTAAAAGAGATTTGATGATAAATAGTATTTATGATAATTTGGTTTTTGATCGAGCTTGATAATGTCTGTGATTTATGTAGCCAATTTTACCTGATGGAATAACACTTAATTGTTGTTGAGAAAAATTATCAAGTTAAAGGATGTTTAATGGAAATGAAATTTATATTCTCCCTTCTTTTTTCCTTCAAAACCACCCTCATAAGCATACCTTGATGTGGCCGGAAGGGGTAGATTTGCAGGATTTGGGTTTGGCCATATTTTTTCTTTTTTGTTCGCGTGAAGAATGAATTCTGCCTTGTTCTGTTTCCTTTAATTATTGACAGTGAAAACTCAGTTCGGTGAGAGTCATTTAAATCTTTTCCTTTGTTATTCCCTCTCCACCAATTTTAGAGGGGAACAAAGGATTGGCAAAATTAACTTTCTAGGATGCTTCATTTTCCTAACTTTATTTATTTTATTTATCGTTGGTGTTTCAAATATGGGCAAACACTGCATTAATTGTTGAAGTAGTGACTTGATTTTTTTTGTGCTGTGCCAGACCTTACAAAGATGGTAGAGAAGCTCGAGTCAGAGATATTAGCCAAGATTAAGTTCACTTCTTCACGTGTCATTGATCTAGACAGGCTCCTTTGTGATACCTTTGTTAGACTGAGTCCCAAACCAATTGATTATCACAATAGGAGAGATTTGATTCGCATCTTCAATACCATAGTGAAGGAAATATATGGTAATATTTTGTTACATTCTTCCTGACAAAATTTATTCTGAACAACTGCATTAATAAGAATGTAAAAAGAGCAACATATATGCCCATATAATTGGATGTAATGACACTAATTGTTTAGTTTCCTATTCTTTTACTTGTTGTAGACATAATTATCAATAGCGTGCTGTAGCAGCACAGTGGTGTGGAGCAGCCATGAACTGCTGCAAAGTTTCAATAGTGGCGCCTTTTCAAATAACGGCTGTTGTGGCCGCATTAGTGGTACTATAGCGGTGCTAAAGTGAGGCATTTTTGCCCCTGAAACTTCATTGTTTTGTGTGTGTGAGGGGGGATAAGGTTGATATTTTCCTCTCTTTACAGAATTTTGAAAAACCCTAATTGGGTGTAGTTTCTCATGCTTCTAATGTCCAACACTCACCCATTTTTGACAGTATTTCCTTAGCACCTGCCCTCTATTCTTGTCTCTGTTCTGAACTAACCTTCCCTGTTCTTTTATCGGTGTGACATCCACCCTTACTTGTTATTGAATGTTTAAGATGTCTTGTATTTGAATATGAACATGTCTTCTGAATTTTGTTTGTTTCATTGACTTTTTGCTATTTACTTGTATGCTTTGCTGATGACCTAAGACTCTTTTATTCTTAATTATGAATATGTCATGAACTTTGAGTTTTTTTTCAAATTTTTTTAGCATTTATATGTGTTAAGATATCTCACATTGACTTAGAATAGAATTAGAATACTCCTTATAAGGGTTAGGGTAGTCCTTTTCCTATGAGCTGGGCTAAATTTCTTAACAATATGCATATGGTATAAATTATTTAATCTATATGAGAAAAATTTAGAATAGTGACCATCCAGCTATGTGTTATCCCACTATGGTGTTTTTGGGCTCAACTGCTAGTGCACTGCTATGTGATATTAACAACTATGGTTTTATAGAGTTGAATAAGGTTTTGCCTCATTCAGTCTTTTTACTGTTGAAGCTACTCAATAAAAGTCTAAGCAATTCTTTTCCTTTGGATCATCCCATGGACCTTCAAATCAAAATGCCTTGATTTCACTTCAACTTTGATTAATTTGGACCATAGTTACAAAATTTGCTCTCCACCCAAGCAATTTACGAACTGGTTTGTGAGTGTTCCAAAATGTGGTTCTTTAACATATTGATATGCTTTGATTTGTGATGGAAATTGCTCTTAATAACTGTCCTGAAGGAAAAAGGTAAATGATGCATTCCTAACACAGGAAACGTAAAAATTTCTCAGAATATATTTATTGTGGTACATATAAATAGAAAAAGATATTTTAAATATTATGAGTTAAAAATTTTACATTGTATTTTTTTAAATTATAATAAAAATGCACCTAATAATATTTTGAAATGTATTGTGAACCCCAACAGTGTACCAACTAGGAATACTTCCTACGTATCATATATATCTATTAGTGTACCACATACTGTATATCTGTACCTCTACCGAAGAGAATTATGGACTAGGTGACTATCATTTAGACTCATTTTTGTTTGGTTTCTGTTTTCTTATTGTAAACAGCATTTCTTTTGGTAAAGAAGCATATTTTGCTTTGGAGTTTAATTTTCAACAATGTCAGAGAATTGTTAAATTGATGTTTCTTTCACATATATTATTTTTTGCATTACCTATTATAATTGGAAACAGATAATTAAAAAATAATTGCACCATATCCTTTCCAAAAAAAATAAAGAAAATCAACCTGGGTGCATCACATTCATCTCCCTTTCTTTCTTCTATTATTGTTCACTTCATTTAAATTTAGTTCATATCTTAGCTCATTCTTGTGTAAACAATGCTTTTGTTTAATTTTATTTTTCAGGCAATAATGATGACTCCCCTGTTGTGGAAGAGTATGGATCATTTGTAATGGATATGTTCGATGAAAAAAGTGATCTTGATTTATCTATCAATTTCAATTATTCAACTGAAGTTTCTCGGCAGAAGAAGATTGCAACCCTTCGGAAGTTTAATAAGAAATTACAATTAATTCAAAGTAAGTTTTTAAGATCTACGTACTGCCAGTTACTATTGTTAGCTTTTGTTAAGGGGAAAGTTATGCAATAATACACACAAGTTAACCTATTCTTGAATTAATCTTTCAAATCTTATATATTTTAATATGCTGGTAGTTAATCAGAGTTCATAAGCAAAATCAGAACAATTTTGTTTGATCCATGATATGGAGCATCCTTATTTAAGAATTTTAACTCCAGGGCTTTATACTATTTGAGTTTGCTGCATAATTGGTTGTTGTCATAGTTCTTTTCACCAAACAACATTTTTTGGTCTCTGAGCTAATCTTTTCCTATGGGCAATGAATCAAGTGGCATGTATTGTATACTGAACCATAGCCAATTGTGGCAAGGTCACTATGGCTTGTTATTAGTATAGAATCTGTAGGTATATATGGGAAATATCAATGTATCCTAGAGATTCAATGCTGGTAGTAGATATAGATGAAATTATTTAAGAGAAAAAGCATCAACATCTCTTGGATCATAAGCATATGAAAGTGGGAAGTTACAGATGCAGTATAGATATGACAACCAAGGTTATCAACGGCGGATGGCAGAAACTCAAAAAACTATCATAAAATTATGGTGGCCGCCATGGCAAAATTATGGCAGATATAATAAAATTAATAAAAAATATTATAGGCTATAGAAAATGATAGAAATCAAGGTAGTTAAATCGGGATTCAACTTGTGAATCATATGACCTATTTTTTGAATCATGAATCGAATCGTAAGATTCAAAATCAATAATTTAAAACATAAAAAATATAAATATAAGAACATTATAATATATAGAAACAGATATATATTAATATTTTGAAGTAAATAATATATCACTAACAATGTGACATACACTTGTAAGCAAACTAAGATTCAAATCATAACACTCAGTCACATTATCAAAAATAGTGACTGCTCAAATTCAACATAAAGTCTTTCAAAAAGATAAACTAAAAATGACAGCAAGTCACTATAGCAAAAGTTTGAATGGATATGATCATTTATTGTCCTCAAGATCTATGTCACTTAGTTCATCTTCTTCATTTTCCAAAATCAAAAGTTCTTCTTCCACCCCATCTCTAATAATGCCTTCAATTTCATTATCATCTTCTATTATAGATTTTTTCTTCTTATCAGTTTTGGTATTTAAGTTTCTTGGACCTATAAAACCAAAATAATGGAACAAACATGACAATATGTATTTGAGTAATTAAATTTTTAGTATTTTTTGTTCAAGCTTTAATTCTAAATCAGCACAAATACCTCTTTTTCTTTTCTTGCCTGAAGCTCCCTCTTCAAAAGTAAAGCACTCATGTATATCCATCCATGAAGCATCATTTGGTAAACATGGATCCTCTTTTTCAACAATCCATTCATCATCTGATTCAATATCGGATTCATCATCTGATTCAATATCGGATAAACATATGGGATCATAAGTCTCTCCCCTCTCTTCTCTACACTTTTGTCTCATCTCTAATTGTAGGTTATATTTAACAAACACAAGTGCATTTAGTCTTTGTTGTTCCAAACGATTTCTTCTTTTAGTATGCACTTGATCAAATGTACTCCAATTCCTTTCACATCCTGTTGTACTACATGTAAGACTCAAAATTCTCATGGCTACTTTTTGCAACTCTTTACCATCTCCACCATAACTCTCCCACCAAAGAGCTATTAAAATTCAAAACAAAATATGTATAAACAATTAGTAAAGTATGTCATGTTACTTATTGGTTTATAATTATTTGTAAAATTAACAAAGTATCAAGATTGAAGAGTTACCAGGTTGCTTTTTGTCTCTAGTGTCTATTGTCATATTCATTCCCAATAATTCTTTGGCTAACTTAAACTTCTCAAGTTGTTGATCAATCAAAAATCTTGTCCTTCTATCTGAAACCATTCTTTCAATAGTTTCATATAAACCATACAAAACTGCACTATCTGGATTAAAGTTTTTGTCATAATGGAACCTAACAAAACAATAAAAAATGGTCAGGATGAATAGGCTGATAAATGAAATTTAAGATATTAAGAATGTCTACTTACTTAGGATTGAGATAATATGCAGCTGCATGGAGAGGTCTATGTATTTGAAAATTCTACCTAGTATCAATGATCTTCCACACTTTCTTATACCTTGACTCTTTTTTTTGGAAATTTTCAGCAATTTTCTCTTTGGCTCTATCTATTGCTTCATAAATATATGGCATGGCTGGTTTTGAATCACCATCTACAAGTCTAAGTACTTTCACAAGTGGAATTACACACTTTAAACAATATTTGATGGATTTCCAAAATTTATCATCACTCAACACTATGCTCATCACTTGCTTAGCCTCAACTCTATTATTAGCATAAGAACTAGAAGCAAACTCTTCTGAAGCAAACATAGATCTAAGAGCATTCTTTTGTTGCATAATGCAATTTAATGTAAGATAAGCAGTTGCAAACCTTGTTACGGCTGGTCTAACTAACTCCCTTCTCTTGGAATGCTTTTTGTACAAATTAAGGACCCATGTATGCTTATATATGTAAGTTGTGATTTTCTTTGCATTTGTAATAGTAGCATAGAAAATTGGAAGCTCTCCAATATCTTCTAGAACTAAATCAAGACAATGGGCTGCACAAGGTGACCAAAATAATTTAGTTCTCTTCTCTTCTAATATTTTTCCTGCTGCCACAAGATTAGAAACACCATCTGTTACAACTTGCACTATATTTTCTTCCCCAATTTCATCTACCATGCTGTCCAATAATTTAAACATTTGCTTGGCATCCTTAATTACATCAGTAGTATCAATAGATTTTAGAAAAACAGTCCCACTATTACTGTAGGACTGTTAACAAGAAAATTAGTAAGTGACTTTCCTTTCCCGTCTGTCCAACTATCACACATCAAAGTGTAGTCCCATTTCTCCCATTCACTTTTATATTTCTCCAAATTTTGATGGATGCTATCAATTGCTTTATTCAAAAAAGAGACTCTGACTTCATGATAAGTAGGAGGTTTTAAACTCCTGCCAAATTCTCCAATAGCTTTCACCATTTGAATAAAATGGGAGCTTCTAACCAAATTAAATGGTAAGACATTAGCATAAATGTATTTGCAAATTTCTTGAATGACAATATCTCTATCTTTAAACATTGTATTCATTGTTGTTTGCTTCAAATTTTTAGATGTCCCTCATTTTCTTTGTTGACAAAAGAATCCATACTTTTCTTTTGATGACCACTTACATCCTGAGTCTCAGTTTCTTCAGAAAACTCCAAGCTATTTTCATCTTTTTTCTTTTCTTTCTCTTCCAATAGCTTGATGAATGTCTCATTTACCTCATGTGGAACACTTGTACAGGCACTCACATTTGCCCTTATTCCTGCTAAATGATGTTTTATCCTTGCAACTCCACCCCAACAAGAATGAGAACAATATTTGCATTTTACTAATAGCTTGTGCGGAGGGACACTTTCACAATGTTTCCATGTGATATCACTTTCTTTTGTTTTTTTGTAGGACCTATTTGTCTCCCCAAACAGCAAACAACAAGTAAAAAAGAGAGGAGAAGCCAAATAAAAAAAAGGAACCATAGCAAAAGGAGAGGGGGACCACCGGAAATATTGAATAGGAAGTGGGAAGTTGTGAGAAGAATTACAACAATGACAATAATAAAATAATAGAGAATAGGATGAACATTAAACTCTGTACGTAGAGAAAAGAGAAAAGAAAAGAGCGGGAATGAAAGGGGAATGAGAAAATAGGATTTCCTTTTAATATTTCATAATGGGTGTACCAACAGAAAAAACTTAAAGTAAAAATCGGCAATTTTGTAAAGAAAAATTAAAAAAAAAGATTTTTTAGGGTTTTTACTGTTCCGGGTCACGCTGACCCGACCCATTTTTTTGCGCGACCCGGGTTGCGCTTGAATCGTGCGCCACGCACTGAATCACGTCTCAGCATCAGTTCGGTCGATACATGCGATTCGCAATACGATTCCGAATTCAAAACGATACTTGGTTTGATATGTATCGCTGCCACAAATATTCATATTGAATCAGTAGATTCGTATCGCGTTTTGTGCAATACTAACTACCGTGATAGAAATGAATTAACTCAAAATATAAGTAGAATAACCCACAATTCAAAACATGGTTCATTACAAAATAAACAGTCATCAAATGTAAAGATAACAATAAAAACATAATTTTTGTTGAGCCATGTTAAGGAAAGCTGATATAAATGGAGAGGGAAAAAAAAAAAAAGCTACCGAAATAAATGGAGTAGCCGGAAATGGAGGGGCGGTCACGGGAGATGGAGTAGTTGCTGCTAGTTGGGAAAACAAGAGTTGGAGCAGACCCGAATGAAGAACAAAGATGAGAGAAACCAGAGATGAAGAAGAGAGAAGTGAGAGATGAAGCAGAGAGGCAAGATTATTAGGGTTGGGCTTGCGGGTTCTTCCTTTGGGCTGGGTTGAGTCCATGGCCCAACTCATTTTTTTGCAAAAACAAAATCATTTTTCTTCAAAAACCACCATTTTTCTACCAGGACCACCGTTATTGACATTACCACCATGTGCATAACAGCCACCATGGCACCGTCATCAGAAAACACCATAAAATGCCATGCTTGTTACATAGAGCATGGAAACCACCACTGCCATCTGCCATGGCACTGCAAATTTGCCATAAAGATATGGTGGAACCTTGGTGGTTCCTCAGTGGTTGTAATAAAAAAAATTATGAATGTGTAAAAAGTATTCTGGTATTATGTCCACAAATCGATCAATTGAATTAGTCCTACAATTCTTTGTCTGTGATGATCATAGATATTGATCTGCCATTATTAGAAAACAAACAGAAAAGTGAGAATCACTAAATAGAGGCTCAGAGAGCAGAGTGGAATTGGGAAAGACCTAGAACTGCGAGAGCCTCAAAACAGGGGAATTAAGATAGTCTCAGAGAATATAGGAAAATGGAGAGAAAGGAGAAGAAAACAGAGATAGAAAATTGTAGGAAGAGAAGAAACAACGAAACAGGGATTTTTGAACTGAGGTTACCTGAGAAAGGCAAAACAGTCATTCGCCTCATTACTGTGTTGGGTTTGAGTTTTTAGACGGCGAGAGCACTTTTGTAGTTGTGTTTACAATATATTCAGTGCTTATTGAGTGGTCTCTGAATAGTCAGAAACTATTCTTTTTTTTCCCCCCCCCTCAAAAGTGGAGTAAAAGCCTCTTTTTCCACCATTGACATGGTTAACTGCCATAACTGCCATGATAAAAGTGGCTGATATAGGCTGCCATGACAAAATGTCATTACTATAGTATAGCCATAAAAATGGCATATTGCTGGAAACTCATTATGGCAACGTGGCATGGCTGCCATTAAACAATACATAATGGCAATGTGTTTGATAACTTTTTATGTGATTACCCACAAACTAGGACAGAATTAATATGCGTTTTAGCATAACTTGAAAGTTGAAAGTTGAAACCCTGAATTATTAAATTTTATGCACTGAACATTACAACAGCCCTCAGCCTTTTCCTACTTGGTGCAGAATGCTGCAATACATGTTTTTCCTAGATGAGAATGTTACTCCACCTGAAAAATTGCATGATCTGATTTCATGTTTAGTGGGTTATGATTTAGTTGTGTCTTGTAACAAGGGGAAATAAATTATTTATGATATCAAACACAAACAGTAAATCACACAAAATAGTTCAAAGAAATGGAAACACAAAATCAAGTAGCAGTATTATTTCATTTCTCCAGGAAGGATATTTACTGCAATTCCCAGAGCTTAGAGCTCCTCCTACAGAGAAAAATACCCTCTGCCCACACTACTCCTTCTCAACTGGAAAATATCACTACCCTATCTTGCAAGTTGCAACAAACCTCCTACCTTAAGAGCTGTTGGACACAGGACTAAATTTGTAAATTTGTCACTCCTCTAACAAATTCTCTGTCATTACCTCCAAATAATTGACTTGCTACCTGAGCACCTGCCTCTTCACAGTATAAACCTTTTGTCACTTAGGTTTCTCATCTCCCTGACTAGGTAGTGCTTCTTTTCCTATTTCTAAATCTTGGGCCTGGACCCTGTCAATTTACAGTATCAATCTATGTGGATAATGATTATGCTGACACTGACAGAATGCCTAGTTTTAAATAAGGAACTTATATACCAGCTCAATTTTAGTTTGTACAATGGACTTCAGACAGAAAAGTGAAATAAAATATTTGTCTATCTTTGTTATCATCTGAATGAAAATGATTGTGGCATGTTGGAGCTGATATTTTATGAATCTTCAACTTTGATGATCTTGTTAGAAATATAACGCCAATGAAACGTGTGTTGCAGGAAAAGGACATGTTACTGGTTTAGAGTCTATCTTGTCTGCCAGGGTACCAATTATAAAAGTTACTGACAGTGGAACTGGTATTGAATGTGATTTATCAGTTGATAATAGGGATGGTATTGCAAAATCTCATATTATCCATTCAATTTCTGCCATAGATGAAAGATTTCAAAAGCTATGTTTCCTGGTAATCATATGTTGCATGCTACTGCTGCTATTTGCCTTGTTTTAATATTTTCATTTAAAATAAATTTGAATGGAAACCTAGCAGATGGAAAATTACTAGTGACATTGAAATTGTGATAAATTATCACATTCTCTAGGTAAATGCAGGATTTCTTTTCTTGTTAATAAATCGATGAGGACAATTGACAAGCTTTGTGTATGGCCATCTGCAATAGGAATGAAAATATTTCATTGTATCTGATATGAAGTTCCTAAAGTGTGTGCCATAGAAGAATATGTAAGGCAAGACATATTGTACGGATGATTTGGTATACCAGATTTCACAGAAATCTACCATAATTGACGATAAAAAAGTTTAGTTGGTTTCATTAAAATATGCTTTTTCCCTACATGTTTTTGTGCCGGTGGGCTCTTTCATTGTGCCCTAGATTTACTTTCTCTGTTATATGTGTCAAACCAACTGTCCAGGACACTTGTTTTTGTATAATTGATTATATGTTAACAGTGTTTCCACGCTAATATCATTTCTGCCTATTGTAGATGAAATCCTGGGCAAAAGCACATAATATCAACTGTCCCAGAGACCGGACTTTGAGTTCTTTATCTATTGTATCGTATGTTGCTTTTCATTTGCAGGTATTAAACCTTTTGAATATCTGGTTGATGCACTTATCATTTTTGGAAGCATTACATTTTACATTAGTGTTGGGATTTGAATTTGGTCAAATAGTTAATACTTAATCTAGTTATATTTGGTTGTAGAATTGCTATTTCTTGAGCTGTGGTAGTGTTAGGAACACATATCAGAAAATAGAGAATAGCACTCTCCTCCAAGGGTTTTCCTCTTTCATAATTGAAAGCATTTGCTTGATTCCCAAAATGCTAAAAATACAGAATGATTCAACTTCCTGTATATTCTATTTATTTATCACACTAACACCCTCTAACTGACTAACTAATATTCTAACTTCCCCTCCCCTTTTATTGTAAAATACCACTCTTGAATTTCAACCTTGTCCTATAGGTCAGAATCTGATAGTTTGAAAAATATAGGAAATGCTTCTGTGAGCATTACAATGGCTTCATTTAACTGCATAGTTGATTTTGAAGGAAGCTGTTTACACATGTGCTTCTACTCTTTCTTCTATGATATCAATTTCATGCTTCTTGAGCAACTTTTGTAGTATCTGTTAAAGCTCTGTAATTATGCAACCTTATTCTTTATGAACCTGTGACAAATTTTCTGAATCTCAAAAGTTCTAAACAACCTTGAATGATGTTGTAAACCATGATTGGTGGTCCCTTTCAAGAACTCCACTGAATCCTCCATTTCTTCTCTCAATAAGAGATATGGCAGTTTCCTTTCACCTGGAATTTAAATTTGGCAGTTTCTTCTCCATGGAATTTGGATCTGGCATGTTGGACTGTTAGGAACCATGAATAGAAATAAAGAAAAGAAAAATGTTATCGATTAAAAGAAAAGAGTAAAAAATAGAAGAGAGATCTCTTCTCCAAGGATCTCCCCTTTGACCATTAGGCACATGCTTAATTCCCAAATTCTAAGAATACAGAATGAATGAATCCTCTTCCTTTACATGCTCCTACTTTATCACACAAACATCCTCTAACTAATTAACTGACTAATATTCTTTCCTCCCCTTTCTCTGTATCCTAACAGAGAAATGGATGTGAAATATATTTCATTTATAGGGAAAATTTTGGTTTATCAGATTTTACAACAACCAAGTCTTATCTCATTAGGAGCAGATTATCTTAGAAGTGTGAAGCATATTTGTAGTCTTTTATTTCCTGTCTATCACCAAACCAAACAAACAAAAAAAAGAAATATGAATAATATTAAAAATATTGTCAATGATTGATAATTTTGATATGCTCATTTTACATCAGTTTTTTTTATTTTTTTTTATTTTCTTGGTTGGAATATATATAAATCCCTCTCTATATTTTATCTTAAATGTTTCATTTATTATTTTTTCCTAAAGTGGTTAAGGATAGTTAGAGTGATTAGAGAAATAGGGGGAAATTATGAGGAAAAGATTCGTTCAATGAGTCAAAAAGTTTGTAATAAAGGGGAACCTTGCGTTAAACTTGGACAATAATTCTTTATCTTTTTCTCAATTATTCAATAAAATCCTTACACTCATTTGCTTGTTTCTATCAATTTCGTATTTCTGTTTCCTGGGTACCTAACACTGTCTCTTACTACATTTCCCTTTTCTTCTATCCTATCTATATGTACAAAATTTAAACAATTGTGAATATTATAAAGTGTTGTGAATATTTAAAATTTTGCATGGTGAGAACAATTCTTGAATGGATAAAATTGGTCAAGATAATTTTTAAAAGAATTTTTGCTGGTAATTTTAGAAAGCAGCTACACCCTTTCTATAATAGATATATAAATAAACAGCTTATGAACTTATTTAGTCAAAATTTCTGTGTGGATTTTGATGCTAAAATAACGGTAATTGTCAAATAGTAACTTATTGATGCCTTGGACATGGATTATTTTTTGCATTTATGCAAAACTAGTTATTTTAGCCAATCTCACCTAGTGGGATTAGGCTTGGTTGTTGTTGTTGTATGTAAATCTAATTCTTTTTTTTTCTTCCTGTTTTTAATGCAGACTTGCAATCCTCCTATATTGCCTCCTTTCTCTATTTTACTTAAAGGTACAGTTTCTGCTAGTGGTGAAAATAATTGATTGTTTCTGATTTGAATCTTATTGTAATCCTTGAGTTCTCTGTGATTATGAATTAGGGATGTTAAACAGTATTTGTGATGAATTGTTTGTTTGATACTAACTTGTAATACCTATTTATACTAATAATCTAGGTCCAATACTAGTTTTATACAACTCTTAAATGTTATAACCCTTACGAATGTACTCTCTCAATAACTTTTAAAGCATCAATAGTCTTAATATTCCAACAGTTCCTGTAAATCTGAAACTTAAAATGTTCTTAGTTTGTTACAAATAAACACTTATGCGTATATAAACATTAAACCTCATAGCTGGAGATATCACTGCCTAAAGTGTCATGTTGAATATTGCTGGAGAGAACAAAATAAAATGACAGCTGAAATAGTTTCAACTAGAAGACGAATAAATGGTTGGAAATTGAAACTATTTGATCGTACATGGCGTGTAGGTAGATAGAATTATGTATAATGCATGTTTTTTTACCATCTAAGATCAATTTTATGCAATTTGTTACATGTCCCAATGTAAAATGTTGAATTTGGGCTTTAAGCCTAACTCAACTCCAAAAGCTATCTCGTAAGGTGAGGATTGTTTTAGTCTTTATAAGCTCTTATTTAGTCATATCTATAGTCGTGGTTGGACTTCAACATATAAGATTAAGATTAATAAAGCATACATCCCAATAATATTTTGAGATTCAAAATCAAAACTATCAAAATTGATTTTACCAAACTTCAAATAAATGAGCACATAATGTACTTGGCTTGAATTAGTTTAACAACTTGAACTTTTTCAATCAATTGCTTGTGGCTGGAAGGACAACAATCTATGCAAATGCAGAACAAAACAGACTAACAACCAAAAAGTTGCAGCCATAAGAAGCCATTGCAGCTTCCAACAGAAATAAGTGTGCTGGAGGGAGGAACAGATTGTGCCATGCATTAACAGGTCCAGAGGATGGATGAAACCCAGTTAGTGAAATTGAGAAGAAGGTGCAGCCACACATGGAGGGTGAGTGGCTGCAACAGGCAACTAAGGCACCTGGAATTGTCATGGTGGTGCTTGTTGTGGTGGTTACTAACAAATGAGGTCCCCACATGCCTATCCGCATTGATGAATAGTAGTTTTATAGAAAGATTGTGGTCATGACAATCTGAATACCTCTGGTTTAAGTGGTGGAGTTCAGTTCTTTGATTGGAGACTGGGAAGATGGATAACTTGATATGAAAACTGTGCCTGAGAGGAAAACAATTATGAATTGGTTAATTGATTGCATAGAGTCCCAATTATGCTTTTTGATGTAGCACTATTTTTTGCATTAAAAAATCTAGAATTATTATGAATAGTCATAACAACTATATAACATCTATATATGGACAAGATCTGTCTTCAACTCATTGACCATTGTAGATCTGTTGTTTGCTCAGAAGACTGGGAACAGTTTCGAAGTAAATATGAACTGAAATATAATTTTAAGAAATGACAAAAAGAAAAAAGTAGCAATAGGTGCAGTGGTGACTGTTGGTAAATGCACAATGCTTGTTATAGATGTCTTGCTACCTTGCATGAGCTTTACTGTTGAAGTTCCAACGTGTCGTGTGTTTTGCTTTAGGATGAAAAGGAGCTAACTGGATTATGAAGTCTTCTCAGTTTTTGGGATTGCATTTTGTTACTTAAATTGACTTGTCTCAAATGTTTGTTCTAGAGGGAGATGATCCTGCGTCTGTGGCTAAGGTTGCTAAAACTTATTTTACCTATGGAAAACAGAACAAAGAGTCATTGGCTAAGCTCTTCATTACCCTTTTTGTCAAGGTATTTTATATGTTTTTCTGTGTATCAAAAATTATGTTCTGCTAGTATGTGTCTTCTTTTATATGATAGTAATTAGTTGTGCTGCACCCAAAGTAATGGGCACAATAATTAGTAGAATCATACAGTTCGTGCTACAAATTGCATGATTCAATATGATTTGTCTAGCCATTGATTCATATCATTTGATGAATTTCAAATGACTTTGAATCTTACGATACATGGATGAATTGGTTTGATTCTATATCACAGATACAAATCACATGATTCAACAATTTGTTTTTTCCTTATCTGTCTGTCTCCATTTATCTTTGAAGAAATGGAAAATTCAAGTAAGATTAAATTGTTAAATGAAAAGAAGTTGAAGGAGCTCAATTGAACACAACTGATCTGATTATTCTGATGCTATATTTTCATTATTTTTGAAATAGGGTTATCACACTGCCACTATGGACTCTATTTGGCTGTTCCATTGCTTTTGAGTCTTTTGAATTAAGGATTTCACACACTCAGTTACGATTTTGTTTTGTTATATTATTTTTTTCGTTTTTCTGTTTAAACTTTTCATTGAAAACTATACATCATTGTCTCTTGATCTTTTAATTCGATATGATCTATGATTCATGATTTGACATCCTCGGTTTCATAGTCCAACTTTTACAATAAAAAAGTTAGTCAGTTTCATGTTGATATTCAAAGTTTCAGTTTTCTTTATTTTCAACCTCACATCTAAGGTAGTTAAAATCGGGATTTTACTTTAAATCATAAAAGGGAGTGAAAATCGTAAATTGTAAAATCGTAAATCGAATTGTAAGATTTTATAAAATTTATATATATGATATAAATTCATATTATTCATATAAAATATCATAAATTAAGGGAAAAAACCTTCAAATCACTAAAAGCACTTAAACAAAGTATCACTCACAAATCATAATTTATTCCATAAGAATGTAATGCATTGACGTGAGTGAAAAATATATTAGAACAGAAAAAATGTAAGAACAGAAGCACTAAGACTTGAACTCAGAGCAATAGCACACTGCTGGATTTAGTTGCAGACTAGGCTGCAAGCACTAGGAGGACTGTTGAATGTTGACAACGATGTTAGGGTTCAAAGCTGCTGGAGACAAATTGGATTCCATAAAAAGGAGATATATGAAAGAGGCGTCAACTACGATAGGGTTCAATAAAAGAGGCTTTGCGAGGAATTTTCAAAATCCAAGTGAAATCATGAAATCCCATGATTTGAGGGATTTTACGATTCAAATCGGGATTTTAACTACCTTGCTTACATCCTATTATGTTTTTATCATAAGATCAGAGAGGTAAAGTCTGGTATGTCCTAATATTGATTAAGATAGGAATTTTTCCATGTGCATTGCTCATGATTGTCATGCTTTCATTTAGGAAAAGTGATGTAGATCTGTAACATTTGATCGTCAAACCTGTGGTTGCATTCAATGGTGTTCAAAAATTGGCTGCAAGTGATTGTGGTCATCAGAGTTTTGGAGTTCAGGAATGATATAGATAGAATTGATAGAGATTCTTTGGAGGTGGATGCAAAAGCAAGTCATTGAATGGGAGGATGAGGGCACCAGCAGATAACCACCTTGTCGAGATACACCCCAACACAGCCAATGATTCCAGAGGGCAATAATGTAGGCAGTGGCTTTAAGTGGTGATACAAAGGGGTGTTGGGTAAAAAATGGTGGAGCTACTGATCTTTTGTGGGCAGCAGAATTGTCCCAAAAATACTTCGCACTTCACACCTCACTTCACTACCACACATTCTTGCTCTATTCTCTTTTGTTCTCTTTCTGTTTTCACTTTTAGAGCCATCAACTCCAGGTAGGAAGAAGAAAAGCATATGGACATCGTTAGCTGATAATGCTGGACGTTTGTAATTGCAAGCCTCAATCGCACTTTTTATAATTCCACATCAGTAAATTCTATTTGTGAAGTGAAATTGCTTAATAATCTTCTTGATCTGTTGCCTTGCAAGCACAACCAGAATATGGTTGGTAGGCACAGCTTGTTTTCATATACATTAACTTATGACAATATCAAACCAGTATATAGAATCAGGAAACTAGTTTGATTTGGTTTTTCCAAAACTTGTTTCCAGTTTGGTTCATTTCATTAAACATAAAGCACTAACTACTCAAGGTTGGAGGGGTTCTTCAGTTCAAATATTGCACTAAAGACCTATTTATTCTTGGTGTTTTAAGTTGCAGTCAAACAATACTTTTAGGCCTAAAATTTCAAGGAATGAAGAACTGTGACCAAGTCAGCAAGTTAACTGCAAGGAGGAGCTAGAAATATATTCTAGGAGAGAAACAAGGGGGATATGTGGTGAAGGATATGGAGGAAAGTTAGTTATACTGAATGAGCAGGCTGCTGGAGGCCCATTATAGGGTTTGGAAAAGGGGAATTCGGTTATAAGGAGACAGAGAAGGGAGAGAAGTGACGTAAGGAGAAAGTTCATGAGTAATTTGGCGTTGGGCTCGGTCAAGAACATTGTGGCTCCTTTTCTTTTTACTGAGATTCATAGTGAACCTATACATCATTTTAAGTGATTGTTTACCATTCTTCATTTCTTTGATTGTTGTCTTTATCATTTGAACCAACTTGCAAGATACAAATGGGGAGGACAATGGAGACGAGAACCCAGACTTGGATGGAGTGGAGCAAAGGCTGACACTGCTTGAGACAAAGCTATCAGAGTTGTTCTCATTGGTGAACATCATTAACCAAAACCAGCAGAAGTTGGATCAAGGGTTGAAGGAATAGGCAAAATTTTGGAAGTACATTATAAATTGGTATGGCATTTGGAGAACATGCCACATGTGGCAATAATAAGGGAAAATGGAAAAAAAAGGACAAAGCTACTATGACAATAACATCCACAATGTCAAATATTGTGGCAACTTAAGAAGACTTGTTTTCAGCTGTGAAGCAAATTGAATTGATTGTCTTCAAAGGAATTGATCCATGATGGTGGCTAATGTGAGCGGAGCATTATTTTTCAAACAACCTACTTCAGAAGAAGCGAAGATTCAGCTAGCCCAGGAATTGGACATTTGGAATTAGATCTTAAACATGGAATTGCATGGACCTTGGATGAAGTAACAACTAATTGGAGCACCATAACTACGAAATTTTAGACTAATGAGTACGATAAGACTTGGTTGTTGTTGCTGAACAAGATGCTTTCTTCATGGACCAAATAAATCAAATCAAGTTATATCATCTCATTACAGCTTGGTTAATGGTCTTCCTATGGATGGCTTCCAAGCTCGCAGCAAGGCTACAAAGGAAGAGAAAGAGTAATGAACAATGTGTGCAAGGACTCTAATGGTAGGTATGGTCCATTGTGGTGGTTGCACTAGTTGAGTTGCAACTATTGTGGTGTCGCATTGAATTTTTGTTCATGATTTTCAAATAATTTAATTACGGTTGAAGCAGTTGCAGCAGTGTCAGCAACCTCAATATTGTGACCCCATTATGTGATGTCGTCTACAATTTGAAACAAGTTTATATGCTAAATAAAGCTAAAACATCTTCATGTTATTAATTTTCTAACCTAGAATAAAATAATCTAAATTTGAATATAATCTCTAAATTCCATAACAAAAAATAATCCCAACTATGAAACCATATTTACAAAATTCAAATTCTGCATAAAATAGTTTAGACAGCCCAGATAAGAGTGAAATGGACTCACAAACCACTCATCAGTGAGGCATTTCCCAGCAAGGGAATAACATAAGCATTCTTCTCTTCTTTTGAGAATAAATTGAATCTGTAACGTTATTATTGCATTTACAAGCTCCTATTGTACCTTGGACAATTTCAACAATAGGCTAAATTTTTGTTATGAACTGAGAATAAAAAAAATTATTTAGGGATAATGTTTAAATTAGTTTTATGCAATGAACTAAAATCAATGAGTTAAACCCATGGTTTAGTCAGTGTATCTTGTTTACATTCAGAATATTCTTCATAGCTCTTTTCCTCCTTTTTTGTCTGACATTATAACCTTCACAATCTTGTTTGTTTGAAGTATATATACCACGATAACCTCATTTGGAATTTTTATTCTTTGTGCAGCTGGCATCAGTTGAAAATCTTTGGCAGAAAGGATTTTGTGCCAGCTTATATGAAGGGTCGTGGATTTTGAAGTCATGGACACGCTCTTACTCATTAAGTGTAAATAAATTCATTTCCACAAACCCCAATTTTAATTGGATATTTAAACTATGATGTTAAATTCATATTGATGATATTTTGTTGAACAGGTTGAAGATTTCATCGACAGGTCCCAAAATGTTGCCAGAGCAGTTGGAATTAAAGAGGTAAAGATGATCTACAGATGTGTCCATAATACTCTTAACTACCTTGTCCAGTTTCTAAATGGCCAGAGACAGGAAAATAATTTGTTGGATGTTTTGTTTGAGAAACATACGGTTTCTAGTCTGGGAGTTCAGGTTACTAGCAACATAAGTGCACGTATGAATAACCTTCCTACATTACAAAATCCTCATCCACCAAAAAAGAGGCGCTTAGTAAAAGATTTAGTTAAAAATCAAGTTCAGATACCTAGTGAACAAATAATTGTCCAAGGCTTGCAAGGAACAGAATCCAAGGGCGTGGGTTGGAGGCAGCAAGCCCTTGTTGAAACTTTACATGTGCTTGCTTCTTGTACTCCCCCAGTTTCCCATCCTCCTCTTCCTATTCCTAGTGCAAATATTACAGTGAATCAAAGTTACGGTCCAGGGCCTTATAATCCTTCCATACAATCTCATTTTGTTTCATCACAAAGTTCCCTAGGTTTTGTTGGTACAGTTCATCAAAGAGCTGTAACTAAAAATCCTAATATTGGATCAATTCATTCACACCTTCCTCAAGTAGGCCATAATCGTAGAAAGCATGCCTTTTACAGTCACAGGAATAATTAATTGGATCTTATGGGACTGTTTTCTGTGGTATATATTTGTCTAGTCAAATCAAGATTACATTAACAAATAATTTATATCCAAGCAATCAATTATCTTCTCTCCTCTCCCATTATTGTCTTCAGCTAAAAGCCTAGAAACTCCCTGATTTCTTTGTTGTTCAAGGTTGAAAATACATTTTCCTATTTAGAAGAGAAAATTCCTTTCTATAGCTTAATGTTCGCTTTGCATTACTGACGAAAAGCAGGTGATGTAGCTTTTTACTGGCATTTATTTTATGAAGACTGAAACTGTTTTGACATGGAAAAATTAGGTTAGAAAGTCATAATTTCTTTTTCTACTCTTGAACTATTCAAGTAGATAAATATTTTAGATGGACAAAATGATATTAGTAGAAGAATAGCAATTAATATTGTCTTGAACATGGACAAATAAATTTGAACAAAATTTTTCTTCCTTCTTGAATGATAATTTGGAGAAGAGGTAATATTGTATTTAACTTTATGTGAATTATTTTTATTTGTAATTTTATATTTTATTTGATGTATTTTTAAAAAATATTTTTATAATACATTTATGTTTTCTTAGTTCATAAAAAATATTAGAAAATATTGTATTTCAATTAGATAAATTTAGATACCGATAAGTATGCATACAGAGATTTGTGACCCATTCCTTTAGTTGATTTACCTCTTAACACATGATCATTAAAGTCAGGCTTTTTTATTATTAGGATAAGTGAGTTCTTATAGATTCATTTTCTAAAAAATTGAACATTATAATTTTTTATCATCCAACTCAAGCACGAATCAAACATTTTGAACGTATTTATAGAACAAATGCATGTTATCCACACTTATAGAAAGATTCTATGTAAGAAAATAAAGCTTATTTTCTTCTATAAGTCACAATTATCTTGTCTGAAGAAAAAAAAATTGGGGTATAGAAAAATGATATTGTATGTTATCTAGGTACTAATCCCTAAATTGTTGTTCGGTATTGTTTATATATGTAAATTTTATAATTTAAAATTTAAATAAATGTGTCAAAAAGTAGGATTATTTTTTATATATTGTATTTAAAAATTTTATATAATGAAATATGAATTTTTTAAAAATATTACAGAAATATAATGTTTAAAAATTGTTTATGTCGATTTTCAGTGTAAATACAAAAGTTTAAAGATAAAAAAACATTTAAATGATAGTCTCAAAAATTGACAATAATGAGTTTTATAAAAAATATTAAAAAATTAAAAAAATTAAAAGTTGCCAATCGCAATTTCCAATATAGTAATAAAATATTTAAAAGTAAAAAAAACATTCAAAAGTTGTCGGTTATCGATAATTTTTTAAAAAAATAGTCAAAAGTCGTAGACGATTTAAAAAAATTTGTATTTACGTAATTTTACTAAAAATATCATATTTTTATATTTTAAAGAAAATCATATAAAAAATTTAAAAAATAAGTGATCAGGATTACATGGCAGGAAATACCCAATATTGTTTAACTTACTATCTTACCTTCCTCCTCATTTTTTTAATTCTTCTTCCACACTTTTTTTTTTTCACTCCTCTCTCGTATACTGATTTTTATATTAAGTATTTTTTTATATGTTTATATTATCATTTTAATATTTATTTAATGCTTTCAAACCTGTATAATTACAAATGTTTATGTTACAGTAAACCGTAATTTTACATATAAATAAACACTAACTTATTATCAAATAACATAATATATAATAAACTAAAAATATAATACAAAAAGTTGACATTATTTTTTATTTAATCATAATATTTTCATCAGCAATACATAGTAAATAAACCAAAAATTCCTATCAAAATATTTGCTTATAAATATGACATCACTTTTAGATAAATATTTAAAATTTAAATTATATCATAAATATTTATTAATCATAATCAAAATTAAAAAAAAAACTAGTAATATTATATAAAAATTGCATATTTTAACGCAACAAAACCCTACTATCAGAACCACACAAAAATGAGCAAGTATAGTCTAAGTGTAGGGTCATTTATATAATATAGTCAATAAAAAAAATGTAAAATTGTACACATTAATCTCGTAGATATTGTTAGAAAGTTGTTATAGTACCCAACAATCTCACTTGTCACACACTCTTCAAACCAGTGAATATTGCTTAATGCAGTGATAATTTTAACTTAAAAAAAAAGTTAATATTGTATGTGATGCATGCAGCTAGAACTCCAAATAAAATTATCTTTTGACATATTTTGGTTAATAGTAATAAAAGGTTATTTTTTTATATAAAAAAACCCTACAAGTTTTATTACTTAATGTTTATATATAATGTGGAGAATATATACATTGTGCTTGAAAATATATTTTAATTTACTAAAATTTTATTTTGTTAGTTAAAAATTTTGTTTAATGAAAAAGAGTATTTGGTAAGATAGTTGAAATAGTAGTTATTAGTATTCTAACACTGCTTTTCAGCTAAAGTAACTATTTTAATTTTTTATATTATTGTTTTAATGATTTTTTCTTTTATTTCTTCAATTAATAAAATTTTACTATTTTTACCCTTTTCATGTTTAACTTTTAAAACTATTTTTATAGTTAAATTTTATTAAAATGTAATAAAATTATTAAATATTATTTTTACAATATAAAATTATCAAAATAATTATATAAATTAATTTATAATATTTTATTTATTTGAAAATTTTAAAATAAGAATAAATTTTATAATTATTAAATTTCAAATTTTAGACAAATTATTAATATTTATATATGTCATTTCACATTTATCAATTAGTTCAACAACTAATTTTATTAAATAAATTTATTTAAATCAACTAACTTTTCTATTTATATCTTTTAACTTCCAGTATAGTGTATAACTAATTTAAAGTTTTCCATTTTGTCATGGTCCTCAGAATGTTTTAAACTATACAAGGGGTTTAAAATTTTTATAACAGTTAATAGATTTTGAATAATAATAATAATAATAATTTGGTATGCTATTAAAAAATATCAGGAATGTAATGGCATTAAATAATATATAGTCTAAGAAGATTAAATCTTGACGCCAATGCTTGTTGGTATTCAAAGAGTCAAACATTTCCATTATATCTTTTCATCTAAGCGACCATGACAGACCCAAACCAAAAACTTACTTGTAAATCTCAATTCCTCATACATATCCTATGTCCAATGGATTTATTTGGTAAGGCCCACTCTCTTGTTGACGACACCACTGTTAATTAGAGACCGTAACAGTGTCTCTACAAAGGTTCATTTTCAGCCATAAAACAAATTTTATATTGCAATTTTTATTATTTTAAAAAGTTTATTTGAAGACCAAATTGTAAAATTCATAATTATGATATTATCGAGTAACAATAACCCATTTTAACTGTTAATTTATTTTTTAATATATCTAATTCGGAAGAAGTGTTTATTTTTGTTTGTTTTACTGATTATAAATTCTGACTATTTTCTTCGTTAAAAGTTCTCTGTTTAGAAATATTTGATGCATAAGTATTTTTATTGATCTTATTTAATGACATAATATTTTGTTCGTAATTTTTTTATAATAACTTTTGTTAGTCATCTTGTAATAATGTTCTTATCATCCTTGTTAGCAAATGTCAAGCACACACTCTCTAAATTATGGCATCTAATCAACAATTAGTAGAGCTGATCAATCTAGTATTATTCATCTACCTCTTATGGTGACTAACCTCCAACTCTTCACCAAAATCTTCACCTAATTCACCATTAAGCTCAATTTCACCCATTAACATTAGACCCAAAACTATGTGCTCCCTCACTCTCAAATCCCATGTTTGCGCAACTTCCTGTGACTAACTTAAGCATGTATATAGCCCTTGCTTCTTGTGATTTTTTCATGTATATCTCACTTTTCCCCTATCGTCTATGTATAGAAACTCAAGCTTTGTATTTAGGTATTGACTTTCTTCTTATTCTCTTCTTTTCCAATACGTAGCACATCTATCTATGTTTCCACCTCCATTTCCCATTTCGTTATTCTCACAATGTGATTCAGGTGATTCAATCCCTCATTCACTGATTCAAGTATCAAATTAGATTCTAAAACTTTGTGTTCTGCACTTCGCAAGCATTTTTCAAAGTATAGTTAACCATTTCTAGAGTATAATTATCTCACGTTATTCTCTTTAAACTATCGTTGAATGATTAGCCAAGCATCTTTCACCATATGAAAATCTCCCTTTATACTTCAAATATCTCACAACAGACAATATCTTAAAGTTAAATCATTGTCAATGTCTAAAGTATGCACAATATCAATATTTCATTTACAAACGTAGGCATATTACAATGTTAAAAACTCATTTTTGCAAACATTCAAATTACCTTTGAAAAATTATACTATATACCTCGTTTCTGTCTCTACACCCTTCAATGCTCCAACTTTAACCTCACACATTAACGCTAAAAAAAGGTTTTAAAATGACGTTTCTTGAATCAAGTTGTCTACTTTTGCTTTTTGTCACAACATTTATTATACCCCATGTAGAGATTAAATGTCACACACATCTTGATCTTGATCTCGACGCAAATGTCACCTTGCACAACAAATTTTTTTCAGTTAATCAATTCTCACACGTGCAAATGAAATATTTTTTTCTTTTATTTAAAGCTATTTCATTCATCCCATCTGAAAAATATGAATGGTTGTTCCAATTCATTCTATCTTTTCAGCAAAGTATCTTCAATTTTAAACTAACATGTGTCAAGTGTTTAAAAATATCACGTGAGTGATGAATTGAATTTTCACAACTTAACCAAATTTAATCAGAATTAAGTGATAAAAAAATGATTTTTAATAAGTTTAAAAAGTTAGAAATATAATCTTACAATTTTTATTTATAAAAACTAAATCTAATAGTTATAGTTAAGACTAATTATTACTATTTTTACAAAAATACCCATGAATTATGTTACGTGACGAAATATTAAAAAGAGAATGGCGAGTGTTGCAGAGGTGAGGAGGGTTAAATGGTAAATTAAATGAGGCACTCTACAGTAGTCTACACATAACTAACCGCCATAACCAGAGACGTTGCAGTGGCGTGAGCCATGAGATGTTTTTCATTGCTCTCTCTTCAATATCTTTAATTCAACTAATTCCTTTTCTTGATGATTCTTCTCCACCCAAGGACAAATGTGGCGTCGAACCTTCTCGAAACTCCACCTCAGAGCTTCGGGCTTAGGGTTTCTGAGACGATCGTTCTCGTGCGAACCGGGGAAGAGGTTCGCGGCGTTATGGGGAAACGGCGATTACGGAAGATTGGGTCTGGGAAACTTGGATTCCCGATGGACACCCGCTGTTTGCTCCGCGCTTCGCAACGAAACCCTTAAGGCCATTGCTTGTGGCGGTGCTCACACCCTCTTCTTAACAGGTTCACTTTTCACTCTGTTTTATTCAATTCATTGTCCTTCGCTTTTCTTTTTATTACTATTATTTTGAAATTCAGAAAATCCTTTCCTGCTTGATCTCTGAAATAATGTTACGGCTTCGGGAAGCTTAATATACTGTGAAATAGAATGAAGTGCAAAAGTTTTTCTTGTTTGTCGATTGCAGATATTGTTGGTTTTTTATTTTTATTTTTATTTTTATTTGTGGTGCTTGGATGAAATGGGATTTTTCTTGCCTACATTGGAATTGGAATGTTACTTGCTGGTTACTGGTTTATCATAGTAACACTTTCAGTATGCTACTGGATGACTACGATGTGTAGTATTTAAAATTGGTGATGATTGTGATGGCTATTGAAGTTGGGGCTCATAAATTGTCCACCTTTCACAGACAATGGATGCGTTTATGCTGCTGGTCTCAATGATTTCGGACAGCTTGGTATATCAGAGAGTAAACACTACTCAGTGGTATATTTTTTAACTTTGTCCATGTATTTTATTTTATTTTTTTCTAGTGAACTTAGCACAGGTGCAGTAGAATGTTTTGTGCAATTGTTGATGAGGGCATAGCCTCTGGACATAAGAAGAAGGAACACGAAAATATTCTTGTCATCATTTTCAATGTTTGGGATATTTCAGGAGCCACTTCGTGTTTTTGGACACGAGAAGAAAATTGTGCAGATCTCTGCTGGTTATAATCATTCTTGTGCAATTACAGGTCTGTGCTTATGCAAGCTAGTGTCAACCACATCAATAATAACAAGCCTCAACCCTCAATAGCTTGTACATGAAATTGGCCGCCTTTTTTTTTTCCATTCAAAATGAATATTTAAGAGCTTGAGTTCTTTTACTGAGTGAATTTTCGCTCATCTTTTCCTTCCAATTTTTAAACAATGTTTTCTTTCCCCCTCTTGTAGTGGATGGAGAACTATACATGTGGGGAAAAAATACAAGTGGGCAGCTTGGACTTGGAAAAAGTAAGAACTAATCCCTGTATTAGCGTTTAATGGACCTTGAGAGTTTTTGTCCCATGAACCTGGTCGTATTATGTATACCCTTTAAAAACTGGATACTCAGACCTGTTAAAGATGCTCAAACAAAAAGGTTGGCAAGTAACAGCTATGTTACCTAATGCTTTTATGCTGAAATGTAGGGGCTTCAAACATAGTTCCTTTGCCAACCAAAGTGGAATACTTGGATGGAATCAACATTAAAATGGCGGCTCTGGGTTCTGAGCACTCAATGGCTATTAGTGGTATGCAATAGATAGACAATCATAAATTTATATTGCATTGATTGCTGCCTCAGATTGATTATCTGTTTCTTTCTATATTTTAGTGTTTTTTAGATAATTTCTTTGTTTGGTTTTGTTTTATATGATTGGAGTGTTAAATGAGGTTCCGTCTCTTATCTATAAATTACCTAGTCATTTGTCTTTAAAGTTTGTCGAGGAATTAGATTGGTTTTATGGAAGTTCTGAATTTTTTTATTTTCTTAGAGTAAAGAACTGTTGAGCAGACCCTGAACATATAGTGGTTTGGCCAAGTTTGAGCTTGTGTCTAGTCTAAAGGTTGAATCCTGATGTTTATTTGTACATAATAATATCTCTTTACCCTTTGCTTCCCCAAGCTGTATTACAAATAGTATTTGTTCTCCCCCACCCTCTCTAAGCTATAAAAGATTTAGATTAATGGAGAGGAAGCGAGGTAGAATTATCCAAACCAGACAAAAATACTTATCTCAATTAATTTAATTATACTGATTAATTTCATCACGATGCACTGTGGATCTTAAATGAGTTATTGTTTAAGGGGACATAAATGATTATCAGGATTTCACCTGATGACTTAAATTTTAGGATTAGACAGTTTAAAATTTGTATTCTCTTCATGATATTTCTTTCTTATGTCAACCAAAAATATCTTATGAGTTTTATCCTACCATTTTTTCTGAGTCCCTCATGGCCAACATGAATACTGTAAATTGTACACTAAATATTCTAATATCTTCTCAATTGTTGTTTCTATCTTCACTAGATGGAGGAGAAGCCTTTAGTTGGGGAATGGGAGTGTCTGGTATACTTGGCCATGGTCATGAGTCAAGCATCCTAGGATTCTTCAAAAGTAACAGGTTTTGTCTCTTCTTTTCTTTTACAATCATAAATTGCATTAATGGATACTTATGCTCTGTTTCAAATTATATTTGGGTAAATTGCACTTTATCCCATGTGATTTGGCTCAAAATCAGTTTGCCACCTTGTGGTATAAAATTTTACCCTTCTTCCCTCTTGGTGCTTTTCCCTGTTAACACATAACAGTTGCCTTGCACTATTTTCCAAACAATTAGTACTTGTTACATCCACAGCCTATTTGTTTATTTTCTTGTACTTGACTTTTTAACTAAAAGATTAAATAAGCGGACAGAATTTATTGTAGCTTTTAACATATTTAAATCCTGTACAAAGACATGACACTTTTGGAATATATTGAGGGTATACCTACCTTTTGCTCTCAAAACAAGTCTGTAGAATTTTCTAAATTAAAAGTTCTAATAAAAACTTAACTATGCAAGCATGGTGTGTATACTTGATACCGGAGAAAGTTTCATTATCCAAACAGAGCTGTCTTTACTAGGATTCCTTGCAAACATGCCATGTTATTCAATTTATATGTATCTGTATTGATGTACTTTTTAATATCATGCAGTGAGTATACCCCAAGGCTTATAAAAGATCTTGAAGGAATCAAGGTGTGATGTTGAATGGATTGCCTTCTTGCTTTGAATTTAAGATAGATATATTGGCTTCAAACTTTTACTGTAATCTTCATTGTTTTATCTTTATTCTTGAAATATGTTTAGGTAAAATATGTAGCTGCTGGGTTACTGAATTCAGCATGTACTGATGGTAATTGAATTTAAATCTTTTACTTTTTTTCTATATTCTCGTTTCATACTTGTTGGTACTATGCATTGGGGAATTAATGCTGGTTTCTGCTCTGTCTTAATGTAATTGTTGCAGAAAATGGTTCTGTTTTTATATTTGGTGAAAGAGGGATTGACAAATTGGTATGCTCAATCAGTAGTGACTATTTTTAGTTTTTTCACTCGTTGGCCAATGTTTTTAATGACTAGTATTTTCTTCAATTAAAATATTCAGCGTTTAAAGGAGATGAGCAATGCAACAAAACCATCCTTGATTAGTGAACTCCCATACTCAAAAGAAGTTGCTTGCGGTGGCTATCACACCTGTGTACTGACAAGTAATTCATCAGTTTCTGAACCTAACCATGTTTTGATTTGTGATAATTTGTTTGTTGTTTCATTATATTGCTTTTTTGTAGATTCTGGTGAACTTTATACTTGGGGTTCAAATGAAAATGGCTGCCTTGGTATTGGGTATACTTTCATACTTAAGACTTGTTACTTGATCATTCTCATTTTTTATTTTTCATTTTTACATTCTTTTTTGTATCTGAATGCTGGTGTTTTCATTGTTAATTTTTTCATCTAGTTCATCAGATGTTATTCATCTTCCTGAAAAGGTTCAAGGGCCATTCTTGAAGTCATCTGTTAGCCAGGTTTCATGTGGTTGGAAGCATACTGCAGCCATTTCTGGTAAGTTCTTCCAATAAACAGACAAGAGAAAAAGAATTGCCATTAAGTACTTTTTTTCTTATCATATTGATGTAAAGACAGGCTTTCTTTTATTATAAAAGAATAATTTCATGAGGACAAAGAGAATATTACTACAAAGGGTTAGGAGTATAAGAAATCCTCTTCAAGAGGCTAATGAAAAAACATAAAAGAGAACAAAGAAAACGTTAATGAAGCAAAGCTACCCCATTTATTGATGAATGGTTCCTCTAACAACCACATAACCTGTTAGAAAAGTTGTGTTTCTATCTTCAAACTTTATTGCTTCTGTCACTTGTCAAATCGGCAGTTAGACTTGAATTTCTTTATAGGAATGAGATGGCGTGGACTAGAAGTTAATAATCAGTTTCTTGGCTCCTGGAGAAAATCATTTTTTCTTGTTTCCACTATTTGTGGTGGCATCATCAGCAGCAACCTGCGATAATGTGAGGGTGGGTAAACACGCACCCCTCACTTTGGATAAAATTATAAATAAGAATGATAATTTTACATTTTTCACTCCCTATTTCTATAACTTATAGAACTCAAACTCATATTTGAAGAATGACCTAGCTCTTCAGCTTTATAATTTTGAACTTGTTAAACTCAAAATTAGTTATATATTTAAACCAAGAGTAGGTCTAAAATTATCGTTTATTTTTATATCACATCCTAGCTTCTTACTTCTTACACATGCTTCTTCCTTTGCTCTACATAACTTCAGAATAAAAAAGACACACTGCTTGATAACTACTGCTACAATTTTCTCTTTGTAGTTTTCCTTTTACTTTTTCACAACATGAATATAACGTGTATTATATATAACATATATTTATCTTCATATTACAATAATTATCAATTTTTATTTTTTTATTAAATTGGCCCAACTGATCTAGGGTCCAGGATCTGCCACATGGTGGCATATTTTGTTTCTCTTTTAAATTTTTTATTTTCCTGCATGTAAACTGGCATATCCTTTATAGTTTTTTGCATAGTTGCAGATTTGCTATGGAGATTTGATGTAATACATAGCCCCTGTTTGTATTGTACAAGTTGTAGGCTTGTTTTCCTTGATAAATTTTTATTTGTTGAAGTTTGTTTAATTTATCTCTCAAGAATTTGGTTTTTGAGCGAGTCTAGTCCCATGTAACTGATCCCACCTAGTGAGTGGGATAAGGCTCATACTTGATGTTTATACTGTACTGGTAGTTGCAGAAGAAAAGGATTTTGTTGATTCATTTATCCCGGAATTTTCCGTTGATTTTCAGAAGGAAGAGTCTTCACATGGGGCTGGGGAGGATCCAATGGGACTTTCTCTGAAGTTGGATATTCTTCAGGTGGACAATTGGTAAGCTTCTGCTTCTCATATAATTTATAATTCGTAGTATTATTAGCTTTCAGAGCAGGATATTATACGGATTCTGAATGCCAGATACTATGACAAGGATGACAAAAGAAAACAAAAAATTCATCTGAATTAACAAAACAGTTTACAATTAATCATAATTTCCGTATGTATATTCTCACATATTGACAAGCTTTCTCCATATTGAATTTAAGATTTTATATTACCTTGGAGGAGTGTGTGATCTGGTAAGTCAGACTGGTGCATCTCTTAAATAAATTGATTACGTTTTTGCCTTTAGTTTTTGCCAAGTGCTCAATTATCTGCCGTGCCCAACTGTAAATGAAATTTATGCCTTCACTCAGGGTCATGGAAGTGATGTGGACCGTGTAAATCCTACTAGAGTTTGTTTTGGAGAAGAAGTGAAAGCATTGCAAGTTTCATGTGGGTTCAATCATACAGGTGCTATACTTGAACATACATAGGTTTGGCTGCTCCAATGATTCATAATGATCGGTATTTCATCAAGAAGATCCAGAATGTGATTTGTCACCCTGTGTATCTTCTGTACATCACCATATTAAAGAAATATACATCTTCTAACCCATCCAAGAGGATTCAGGAAGTTTCAGCATGCCTTGAGTGAAAACATATATTATCCATCTGTTGTAATTATATCATTCTTTTCACAGGAAAATAGACGCCCAGTCATATATATATATATATATAAAATAAAGCTTCCTTGTGATGTACAAAACTTGTGTAAAGAAAGAGCGCTGCTTCAAGTAATTAAAAATGCGTGGGAATGATGGCAGGGATAAGGAAAAAAAGTTGTGTGTCTGTTTTTCTTATTGTATTGGTTAGTTGAGTTAATACCACTTTACAGAGTCTGTTCCTTGAGAGAAGTTAGCCAAGATGGTTCAAGTAAATCATAGTTGGCGATATATCTTGTTAATCGTCATTGCGTATAGATGTTTTTGCAGCATTATAATTGAGGAGGCATATCTTTTACTATATGTAATTTTGTGGATGTTCTCACTGATTTATGTGGTTCTGCAATTTGCCACAGAAGGGGGAATCCCAGTAACGTGGTACGGGGGTGAGATAATAATCAATATTACATTACAGTTCATCTTTATGATTTGGCCAGCAAGACGGAGGGAACAATTAATATTGCACGACACTAGTAATAAACGCCTTGGCCCCCTTTATCTTCTATACGCATAAGACCTACCACTGCATCTTTTTTTAATGATTCTTTTAACATCCTAGTGACACAGCAGTGACCCTGTAAGTCAGTTTTATTTGAACCGTTAGAATCCTTTTGCGGATGGGCAATGACCTACTAATGGGCATTTAAAAAATAAAGCTTAGAATAAGAATTTTGAATGTGGAAAATGCAATCTCGGGTTCTTATGAAGTTTCCTGACTGCTCAAATATCTTTGGATTACATAGTCTGAAATGCCCTCATCTTCATACAATAAAGTAGATGGTAATAAATGTCTGCGCTGATAAGTCAATACATTGGGACATAGCTTTCCAGGGGAGTTTATGGCTCGAGAATTGAGAGTGGATACAAGCACAGTGGCTTCCTCCTCCAACAGTAGTAAAAGCAAGTTACTATTATGTTAATGAATGAGTTTAGTTTGATATACCTATTGCAAATATTATAATAGTAACATGTGTTTTGTGTATGAATAAGTGTTGAATTGAGCTACTGTAGAAGTGAGAGTGGGTCCAGAAGCAATTATGAGTGGAACTTTGAAGGTGAAGGAGGAGAGTGAACCCAGAGAGGGTGTACCCGACCCGAATGATGAATAGTAGGGAAGGGAAGGGAAGGGCCCGGGAAATGCGCAAAATATATCGCCGCAACGACGATAGTTACTGATGAGCACTATGATGATCCCATAATTGAAAATGTGGTCCTCCCACCACGTGCTCTTGTCCCCTCCCCATGGGACCCACTTCCCTCCGTACCAATTCCCATTCAATGGCATTGCATTATTGAATAATCAAAATGCATTACTTAAATTCTATCTCATGTCCACATTTGATACTTAATTCAATATGTTCTTTTTAAATTATGCTCTACATTGTATATTTAACCATAAAATTTATTTGGTTAAGTTATAAATAATTCATTTGATAAATTATATCAAGAAATTCATTAACATAAGTTTAAAAAATTAAATTATGTGTAAAAGTTATTTATAAACTATTTTAAATAGTGTAAAGGTCTATTTAATAGTAAGATAATGATAAGGTAGAATAAACTATCATAACTTATTTTAATTTACTATTTGGTGAACTAATAAGATAGAGTGAATTCATTATATTGGTTTTTCTATTATAACTATTAATTTAAAAAATAAGGAAATTTATTTAAAATCAATAAAATAAGATATTTAAAAAAAGTTTTTTTTTTATTTTACATTGTGAAACTCATGATTATAATGACTAGTACAATTGTTATAATGAACTTCATAGCTATTTTTGTTACATCTATTATTGATATTTTTATTATTTATGCACATCATGGTATTTTTTATTATTATCATCCTTATAATTATAATTATTGTCATTATTATTACCACTATAATAAATATGATCCTATCGTTACACTTGACATTATAGTTATCATTATGATTATTATTACTATTATCATAACTATTATTATTATTATCGTTGTTACTATTATTATTGTTGTTATTATCATTATTAGTGATACCATTATTATTATTATCAATATTATTGTCAGTTTCATCTTACCAAAATTATAGTTATTATTTTTATCATTACCATACTTGACACTATTGTGAGTCCTATTATTATTGTTATTATTATAATTATTATTCTTATCATTATCATAAAAATTACTATTATAAGTATCATTACTATTATAATTATCACTATTATCAACTTTATTGTTATTATTACTATTATTATTGTTATCATTATTATAAGAACTAAAAATATAATTATCATTATTACTATTTTCGTTATCATAATTGCAATCACTACTATCCAAAGCTAATGCTATCATCACTTTTACTATCTCCACACTTAATATTACCACCGTTATTATTGTTACCATTATCATTATTAATACTATTATTAATGTTTTTAGTGTTATCTTATCACCATCCTCATTTTTATTGCTTTTTATAAGAATAATTTTATATTTTTTAAAATTCATATTATCTATTAAAATATGATATGTTGATTAAATTTAAAATAAAATAAAAAGTTTATATTACTTAAATTATTTTTTTACTTTTTTTTTCATTTCTTATATTTTTTTCTATTTTAACTGCCGAATAAATTCTAAATCAATGCTCGCTGTAATTATAAGGTGAAGAACAATTTTGCTTTTGAAAGAAATAGCATTAAAACAATTTATCCATGATAAGATAGTTATTGATCAGGAGAGAATGTAATAATTTGAACAAAAGATAGGAACAACACCTAAATCAATATGTATATAAATATAATAAGCATCGATGACAAAATAAAAGATAAAACTTAGATTAAATTATTTGTATTTTACCATTTAGTCCTTAAACAAAATAATGACAAGTACTTTTTAATTAACAAGATATCTTTCGCCGAGACTGTTGAAAAAATTCAACATGTCATTTTTCAATTTATGAACTTAATTAATGACAAATGTATAAAGAATGTTTAAATTTTACTTAGAACAAAACGGTGAATGCAACTGATGATGACAAATTTGGCTGTAATACGTGTTCTTCTGTTCTCCGTATTATTGAATATACGATGGAGCACGAAAGCATTTATACTTGCTCATTATGCTTTATAAATAGCAAAATGATTTTGATATGGCTTTAACTAATAATCAGTAGTTTGATTTGTGTGGAAAAATTAACATCTTTTTTTTATTTTTTATCATACTCCACATAGGTAGCAATATCCTCTCCCTCTACCCCACTCAAAGTATTTTTTTTATCAACATTTTTTATAATTAAAAAAAATATTAATTTTATTTTTTAATTAATTTTAAGAACGTAAAGCTGATAAATTTTATTTAAAAAGTTATTTAATATGTTTTTATCTTTTCAATGTAATAGACGCTTTTTTCTTAATAAATGCATAAAAAGTTTAGAATAATCTGGGTAATTGAAGAGGATATGGTGTTATATTGTTATGAAAATTAAAGAAATTTGTGTATGATAAAAAAAAGGAGAGTTATCAAATTAAATTTTATTAAATTTTAAAAAGTGTAAATGTAGTTTATTTTTAAAAAAAATTGCTAATTTTATATACTTAACATTAACCCCAAAATCTAATGTTGAAAAATTGTTAAATAAAAACAAATGATGCGAGGACTGACATAGAATCATGACCCATTAGCAAACCAAAAGGAAAATTGAATGTAGTTTTTATTTTATACTTTTGGGTGGAAGAACTTATAAGTGCCACAACAATTTCAATTTGAACCTCGTCTCATGATTCAATGAAGTGTCACTCATAACAATTTCACTGGCTTCAAATCCTTAAAAGTGGGAAAATGTCTAAATTAATAAAATAGTATTGTACACTTTTTTTTTTATTGATTCTTTAGTATGTGTTAAAGGCACATACTAAGAAATTGATAAATAATATTTTTTTATTAAAAATAGTAATATTTAATACTATTAATGTATATTGTGTGATTTTTAATAATTTTTATTATGTGTCTTTAAACATATATTGAAAATTTGTTATATGACCTTGAAATTTTCTATAATTCAACAGTGTAAAAAATGGTTAGCTCGTGTAGTTTAATATAATTTAATTAGGTTTCGAAAATTTTGACTAAAATCCTTACTTGATCCAATTTATAGCATACACTGCATTTAATAGTCATAGATTGATCCACTCTCAATATAAATTTTGTAGTTACATCTTCTTTTTTATTTATAGATTCACGTTCACATTTTTTTTTAATTCGTTTCTAAACACACACCTGTAATTGTCTGGGGCAAATATTGTCAATTATTTTATAATTATTTAGGCTCATTTTTATTTAGACAATTTTCTTTTTCTATTGACTTTGATTTCAAATCTCAATCAAATTATATCAAACTACATGAGCTTACCCTTTTGAATACCCACATAAATTATTTGTGGAATTGAGTTGCTATTTAATATTTTTTCTTTGTGTTATGAAAAAACCTACTCTGAACATTTATTAGGAGGACCTGAAGATTAATTCTTATACGACCATAATTTTATTGACAAGATTAATTAAAAAATGATATTTTTAAATAGCAACAACAAAATGTATACCAAAATAATTTTAATAGTATTGTATTTATAAAAATCTTATTAAAAATATAAAGAATATTGTGATTCAAGAAAAAATTATAGATATGTATGCATGATGTGATAGGTATGTTTTGTTGGCATTGGTAAATAGTGAGATGAATTGGTGATACTCTGCATCTGCACCAATTGAAAAGTTATATTTTAAAATAATAAATACACATTTTTCATTCAATACTTATTTTAAAAATATTAAAATAATGTAATAAAATTATCTCTGGTAAAAAAAAGACTATAATCTAGACTGATATAAATGTTATATTATTTTTAGTAATTATAATATGATGGAATGAAAATGTGATAAACACATAATAATTGAAAGAGTAGGATTGTACATGTATATGTCTAGGCCCCTACCACACATATTTAGTGTAAGCATTTGGACCCACTCACACAATTTACTTGTCATTTTTATTCCCACCTATTCAATACTTCTCGCAATAAATACCACTCTTTATTTAAATTATTTAATATTTAAGAATTTCTCATAAAAATTATTTTTATTTACTTAAAATGAATCGTTACAGTACTAAAAATTATTATAAAAGGGAATAATGGACATTACCAACAAATAAATATTCCAGTGTTTCGATAAGTGTGTATTATGAATTTAAAAAATGAAAATTGTTTGATAGCTTTTTCTAAACAGTGTTTCGACATAACAGTTTGGATGGTCTATTGTTATTTAAAAATATTTATAATTATTTTTTAAATACTTTACAAAATTATGATAAATAAAAGA